CTCTTGATTTTTTTTTTTCATCGTTCAGAAATATATGCAGATGTGATAGCCTCTGAATAGCAAGGCAGGGTTTTGACGTTTTCTGAACTAGGCCCAAATCAGTTATTAAACTGATTGGAGCACCTGTCCTGTGAGGAGAAGCTGAGAGAGCTGGGCCTATTCAGGCTGGAGTACAGAAGGTCCAGGGGGAACATCATCAATGTATACAAATATCTGAAAAGTGAGTGCGGAGGGTGCAGCCCTCTTCAGGAGTGCCCGGTGTGATGACAAGAAGCAGTGAACAAGTAATGAAGAAAAGGATGTTCCATATGTATAGCAGGAAGCATTTCTGTGCTGCAGAGGAGATGGGGAGCAGGTACAGGTTGCTCAGAGAAGCTGTGGGTTCTCCTTTTGCAGTGTCTTCAATATCTGCCTGGACATGGGCCTGGGATCTAGCTCGAGGTAACCCTGCTTGAGCAGGGATTAGACTAGATGGCCTCCACATGTCGCTTCCAACTTCAGTCATTCTGTGATTAAAATGAAAGTTGTGCAAAAATATACCATCTTGTGCTCTAGCTGTTAGTTCTCCTGATGTTTGCTTCCTAGCTAACTTTCTCCAATGTATTGCCAATGAAAAATGATAGATAGATAAAGAATATGAAATTAAAATGCAAAATACATGAAACTAATTGCTAATTAAAAATATAGACTTTGAGTTTGGTAGACACTGTGCAAGGAGCACACCGAGAGAAAATATTATGTAGTTCAGATAACATATAAGAAGGAAAGCAAAATGTTTTGAATATGCTTTCCACAAGTACGTTATGCACTCAATTCCTGTGGTTTTGTGTTTATAAATTCCATAGCGAAGTTGCTGCAGCATTATAAATAATAAAATAACCTTCTGACACTACTTCACTTCATTTTGTAGGCTCTATCCCTCAGCAAATACTAGCATATGCAGATGCCTTGTCTCATCAAAATGTAAATTGCATCCTGATGTTACATGGTGTGCTGTCACACCTTTTAAAATAAAGAATATCCATGGAAGGGAGGAACATCAGGAAAAATATGAAGAAAAATTCCAGTAGTTAAATTTGAAGAACATTTCTGAGAGCTGAATGAACAAAAAGTATAAGCATGAAAGGCATCTCTGCACTGACAAGTGTTGTGAGGGATTCCTCACCTTTGTTTGGGCTCTCTATAGAAGCAAGTTCATTGCCAAGCAGTTCTCCTTGTGGCTGCCTTCATTTTGGATAGAGTAATGTTCTTTTAGGGTTGTCAGTAAGTAAAAAACTTGCCTGTGGAGGGATGTAGGATCCAGTATTTTGTAAAATACTTCCAAATTTCTATTATTAATAAATGACTTGTAGTTTGGTTCTTTTGGGGGCTTTTTTATTGCCTTTCTGGTGGGGTGAGATGAGGGGAGGCACTAAATCTGACAGCCTGCTAGGAACGGGGAGACGTTGTGAGAAGCACTGTTAAGGAGATTATGTTATCTCCCCAGAACAGAGAATGGCTGTGGTCAACGGGAAATCAATTTCCGAGGGTGCTACAGTAAATTTGTCTTGTAACTGAAAACTTTCTAATTGCTGCCCCAAGGGAACAGTAAGCTGAAAACCAAGCAGATGGTTTCTCCTCCTTCCTCCTTTGATTCTGTCTACATTACCTCTAGCTTCCCAGTAACTTTATGCATTAAATGTTTGCAAATGCTTAATGCTATCGTAGTTGCTCTCACTTGTACAGTAACTTTGCTGCTCAAAAGCCAGAAATTATTCTGAAGGTTCTGGGAGACAAAGCCTCTACTCTTAGCTGAAGCATTAGTAATTGTTATGAAGCAAAAAATAAGTTTTATTCCATGCTACACAGCAGAAACAGCAGAAAGATTATATATTTATTTATTTATCTATTTATTTATTTATTTTTTCCTTCATTGAGAGTTTTGGTACTTATGGCATCTGAAAGCATTCTTGTGCCTGTCTTACAGCCTAGTTTTTATCATTTACTGCTTTATTTATGATTTGTGGAATATTAAACAGAATGAAAAGGCCTGGCATAGATACTACTGAAGTAATGCAGAGATCCATGGTGTTATAAGGACTTTTGGATGTATCTGGTTGTGATTAAGGGACTGCAAAGGTTAAAATGAATTCACGGTTCTTTGTTTTGAAAGTTTGTCTGAGTGTGAGTGGCAGTCTGTGAAGAAGGAATGGAAAAACATAACAACCTTTGTGTTGTTACAAAGATCTTCTTGTAGTCAAGGTCCAGCTTCAGCAGAGTGCTAGAAGGCTGACTGGGGTTCGAGGATAAAGATGAGTGGAATAGCAAGTGGAATGTAGTTTTGATTCGGAGCTTCCTGAAAACTTCTCTGTGTTGATACTATGCATCCCTTTGAAACATAGGGAAAAAAATTGGCAAGGAAAAGTTAACTTTCCTGACCATATTTTGCAACTGTATTTTGCTGCAAAAACAAATTTTGGTTTAGTTGGATAATATGCTTATGCACCGTTGCCAGCACAGGTAAACATGATCAGATACATAGATCACTCTGGAAGCAATGCCTCCTGTTTATTTCCATGGAAAATACAACAGGTACAAAAACCATGACAGTGCTGTTTGATAGAGCACATTCTCAGCTTCAAAACACTGTTTTTCAACATAGTCACCACCATTAGCTATGCATTTTTGCCTGCAGTGCTGTGCTTGTAAAAGTCTGCACCAGCAGATGATCCAGTGTCACTGTCATCACCGCTGCAATGCACCACTCACTGCTTCAGCTCACATGCACTGTTTGGTCTCTATAAACATTCAGCAAGTGTTGATGAGTGTCAATAGGTGCATTTTTTTCCACGTAGAAAAATTAAATGCCACACCTTTGCTTCATATTCACTTCCTTGTCAGACACCACATTGTCAGACTGCCCCTCTGCTGCCATCTGTCACATGGCAACAAAATGTAGTAGAATTTTGTTGGGAAGGTTCAACTTCTACTGCCATACCACCAACATCTGCCTTTGGTGTCACGGGCCAACATAATAAAATAGGAGGCATTACTTTTGGAGCAGCCCTCATGGCACACCAGTTACTCACAAGCAAACTGCATTGATTACTAAATTATCTGAAATACCTGTCACAAATTATTTGCTAAAAAAAACCCACACTGTATCACACTAGTTACTAATTGTTAGTTTTAGAAGTGTCCAAATACAACTCCAAGAAGCAATAAACAAATTAATCACTGGAACATTAATTGCGAAGTATTTAGTTGCAACACAATTTAAAATTAACAACAGAATTGTCATTTTGAACGTCATGTGGTAAAATTAACTTGAAATAAAAGATATCTGGCCCAGAATTGCTTGCATTTTTTCAAGAAAATTCTTTTTTCAGTGAGAAAATGAGAAAAATTCTCTTGAACTTAATGAGGGGTTTTCTTGTGTATGTTCTCTTAATTTGAGCATTTCCTGTAAATGAGGATAATTATTTTCAACAAGAAATAATAATAACTGTATTATAAAATAGTTGCCTGGTGTTTTAAAATTTCAAAGTGGTAGAACCGTATTCATATTTTATCTACAGTGAAAAAAGTTAGGGAGATGCATGGTTGCCTATTACTATTGCATTAGTGTAATTACACTAGATCTGTGGAATGCGTTGAAAATTTATAGAAAAGCTTCTCTAAATATCATAAGCTCTCATAAAGGTTGTGATTGCTAACAGGCATTTGTTTTACTGTAGTAATTGCAAGTTGCAGTCATATACAGGATGCAAATCCTTTTCCTCTTTACAAACCTAAAATCAAAGGATAGACTTCGCAGTATGTAGTGAAAGCCAGATTCTATCCAGTTTATGTACTGTTGTCACTTTAAAGACTGATCCCTCCTCAGCAAAATAGATAAAAACAGCCCTATAGTTAAGCAGATGATTGCTTGCTTTGTTGATGTGATCATCTGTTTTATTTCTTGAAAACTACTTTTATATCCTTTCACTGGTTAGAAGAAAATGGTTGGCCTCTAGCTTTCAGACTGGTGGCTCTGGAACAAACATCCTTAAGCTGAGGATTGAGTGTGCAGGCAGGCAGACTGACCTTACATTTTTTTTCTGTTTTTGGCCTAGGGTGATTTCCCAGTTTCAGTTCATTGAAGCAGTGGTGCAATACATAACCACTTGGCAGAGAAGAATGTATTTGTGCATGCATTTTCTCAACAACCAAGCCATAAATTCACCTATGTTCCTTTTAAGTGCTTGGATGGAATCAAACTAATATTAAACAGGTTTTTGAAATTAAATTTGATGAGTTTGAAAAGCTCCATTTCTCTCATACCTCATATCTGAGTCTGCTTTGAGCAGCTGCTTGGGAAAACAGATCTTCGAAATTGTACTCTTAGATCCTGATGCACTCTTTGGGTTACTTAGTATTCTGTTTACAAAATGCTCCTCTTAAGTATTTGATGAAGAGCAGTGATTAGGTACAGGAAGTGCTGGCTTTATTTTTTTTTTCTTTCAGTTTTATGTATGTTAATGCTCACTTGCAATTTTCATGAAGCTGTTGCGTGTGCAATGTGAGGTAAACAGCACAATCCTGTAATAAACCATATGACTGCAATAGAAGTGACTGGGTGTGAGAGGATGGAGTATACATCTTTTTCGTCAGTGAAATAAAATTAAGAAGATGGAAGGATTCATTTTGTTCCTAGAAGTGAGGAAACCCTAAATTCTGTTGTTAGTCATGAAAATGTGTTAATGTATTTTGTAGAATGACCCCCCCACTCCCCAGTTGGCTGAAAATCTTATTATATGTAGCTGTGTGGTTTGAGCTGCTGTTTTAAAATACTTTCCTAATGCTCTGTGTTATTAAAAAAAAAAAAAAAAATGGTGCACAAACGCAATCAACTTTATTCCTCAACAACAACTGGGCAGCAGGATTTGTGTCATTTTTATTTTTTTCTTTTCTTTTTATATCTGTGGAGTGTGTAAAATGCGCCACACTGTGGTGACAGCTTCTTTTCTTTATTTTTGTAGGCTTGACCTGAGGACGGTTTCATCCCACAAGAATCAGCTAGTGAGATCTGCACAGGCTTCTTCCTAAGGGGAATCATGTCTGAGATTGACTATGAGAAGTTAGCCGAAATAGGTAAATATTTTTTATTATACTTTAAATGGCTTCTGTGTAGAGTCAGAGGTGATTTAATAGAGCATCTTGAGTAAGGGAGAGGCTTCACCAGCGTTTTGTAATGCTTCTTGAAGCAATCCAGTGTGACTTACAGCCAGTGTACTCATGTGTACCCTATTAAAGCCATTAGAGTTGAAGGTTAGTTTAATACATGCAGCTTTTATGAATTATTGGTAGATGTTCCCAGTGCAATTCTAAGCTATTGGAATATCACCATCTTCACATATTGTGGCACAAATGGGAGTCATTACTCCAAAAAGACAAGTATTGAATGAGTATAAAGATTGCTGTATTGCATGTTATTTCCAAAGATGTTAGTTGCAATGAGCAATATGGCCGTGGCATTAGAAGGCTCATCATTTTGAAAGATCAGTGTTATGTGGGGCTTTTTTTTCCCCGAGTGTTGGAGGATTCCAGGCTAAATCCCAAAGCAAGATTTTTTTTTTCTTTTTTTTTTTAATTTTTTTTGACCTCCACCTCTGTCTCCTGATCCTCTACTTAGCCCTGATGTCTCCACCACAGCTTTCATCAACAAGCAATTTTCCAGTCAGTTTTGGCAAGCTCTCGGTCAGGTCCTTTGTCGTCTCTTCCAGCCAGGGCTGAACAGCAGCAGCAATGTGCATGGTAACAGATGATCCTTTGCTACGGCTCATGAAGCAGGGCAATAAACTCCTAGCATTGAGTGAGAAAAATAGAGCTCAGGTCTCCCTCAATCTGGAGCACTGACTCTTCTTTTTTATTTGTGTACATTAGCAAATGTCTCTTGAGCTCCTGTCCTCTTGTTCACACATGTGGAAAGGAGGAAAAGAAAAAGAATGAAGAATTATTTTACTAGGTTAGTGTTAACTAGCTTTTCAGTAGTTTGTGACTGCTGCTGGGTCTACTCTGGTCCCTGTGAATAACTGCAGTAGAAATGGGCACGTGTTTGCTTCCCTAGCTATTTGGTGCATGTCAAAGCCAGGTAGCTTTTCGGAAGCACGTCTATTACTATGCATAGTAGAAAAAGAATTTTTACAGAAGGGATTGCCCCCAACCTCTCTGCACAAAAAACTGTAGATAGCATACCTGTTGTTTCCACTGTTTAATAAAAATGTACATTTCAATTGTATTAAAACTTGTGAAGTTTCAATGTATTCTAGTGAATAGTTTTTGTTTCTTGCTTTTTAACCCCAGGTAGTCACATTTTCTATTTTCTTCTCTCTGTTTTTGCTATTTGTTACTTTATGTGGATAAATGCTCAGACATGAAAATTTACTAAACAAAACAGCACTTCTCTTTTTCTTGGATCTGTAGCATGACTTTAAATATATAAAAATAATTTTTAAAAAATGTGAAATTTGGGTATGGAGTTATATTTGTGTTAATGTTCCTGGCTCTTGAGGAAATAAAAATCCTTCTCTAAGGTGAAAGAATACATCTCCAGTTAAGGTTAGTGTAGCTCTTTATATATGATATGCTTCTAAAAGGTAGAAAAACACACATTTTGGTGATAATAGATTAATAAATAAATAAATAAATAAATAAATTAAAGATTAACTTTTATGTATATGAGAAGGGCTAATGGTGTATTAATTAAATGCAGATTATTTTTCCAGTGAGTAATAGGACTTCTGGTTTGTTTTCTGAGGAGCTTGAATGTAAATTGAAGCATAAAGAAATTTAAGAAAAAATGCACTTTGCAAACTATTCTTTTCCTTGAGAAGCCCAGCCATCAGTGGCATTTTTCTTCATTTTGAAAGTTATTTTTGGTACAAATCATATAAATATATCTATTTATATATATTATATAAATATATATATATAATATACAAATTTATTTGTGTAAATCGAAATAGAAATGAAACTATGAAAGTTTAATGGAGCTGTTTATAGAATGGAAAGCTACTGGGAAACCGTGAGTTAAAAGCATTGCAAAAATATTTAGTGAGATTTTTTCTCTAACTCATCCTGGCTACTGGTACTAAATCTGGTTGAAATCGATAGCTGATATATTCTCTCTGCTCTACTATATCTTGGGTGCTGGTCGAGGCATGTAAAATATATAGATGACCAGAATGCAAGAGTTCTTGAAGGACTTAATTTTGACTGGCACCAATAGTGTTACAGATAAACTTTTTGATTCCCTAGTGTTAGAAGTTTTATAATAAAAGAGGTGGATGATGCTGCACCCTATCAGAACATTAGTTTTCCTCTTTACATGTATGTTTTCCTCTCATAAGCCATTGAGACATTTGTGTGCCAGTGTGTCAGTATAATTTTATTCCAGTCAATTTCTAGAAAAAAACCACTTTTGTAGCTCAGCAACACTAAGGGCAGCAATTGTTCCAGAATCTGTTTGTTTAGATTGGTACTTTGGTTCTTTCCTTTTTTGTACTGAGCAGTGATTTGAAAAAGCTTTGGGAAAACAAACCAAACCAAGTTCTGAATCAAGACTGAATAACAATGAGCTACTAATTTTAGTGTGGAATAGATTTAACTTGAGAATTTAGTTCAGAAGTGAAGAGAAAAGATGTCTATGGATTTCATTGGGTTTTTGAGCTGCTGTTTATATCTTACTTTGGCCTTTAGCTGGTGTATGTAATGGATGGAGATTTGACTGCCTCACCTACTGCAGGTTTTGAACATTGAATTCACATTGCCTTCAAGGAAATTATAGATTTTGATGGAACTAAGATGGAGCTTTATTGGTACTTCAGTACCTCTGTGCAAGGTATCCTCATGCAGGTCTGCATTCAGAGAGTGTTATGGAACAGCTGTCAGTGCACATTAGCATACTGAAACTTTGACTTCCCCATTTGGGCACCCTTGAAGTAAAAGAGGAGATGTAGATGGATAAAGGAAGCAGATTGTGAGAGTGTAAGAAATGACAAGGCAACACTAGCAGTTGTGAATAGCAAGGTCACAGCATGCCAGCTGTCCGGCCGTTGTCAAGATTTTTATGACTATCACAGCAGATACTATTTTTAAGGAAGATGTGAAGGTTGTTTTGAGTTATTAAAGGGTTGTTTTTTCCCACACAGAAAAATGGGGAAGGAGGAAGAAACTGTTTTGAAAATATATCAACTGGTGTTTTTGTCTGAGCTAAAATTTAAGCCTTCAGTAATTAATCAGAAGCAAAAGTTTTTCTTTGTTCATTAGCACTTAAGCATTCTTTCTTGCTTCTTTAGAACTGCAGAAAGATGAAGCAGAAGATACACAGTCAGGACAAGATAAAACATTTACGCCTCCACCACATGAGGATCCTCAGCTAGATATCAATCATCCCTACTATGATGTTGCAAGACATGGCATCATTCAGTTAGCAGGTATATTTGGACAAAAAAGCATAACTTTAACATGCTAAGCCCCTTAACACAGTTTTTCACTGTATTCCTCAAGGTGATGCTTTGTGATTGTGACACATGAAATGAAAGGCATACATATGAGGTGTATACATATAAGTATATACTGCATATTGTTTTACCCACTTGATTTGCTTTTGGCATTAATGCTTTTGTTATTGTAATGTTAACCACAATACTCAACTACAATTAAGTTATACAGTAAGATGTAAACAACAATATTTAATATCACGCATCCTAATGAAGTCTAAAATTGTGTTCTATCGTGCACACTTTTAGCCTAGGTTTTGATTTTTCTGGAAAATGGTGAACTCTGGTTATATGTATTTACCTTCCTGAATTTGATCCATATACAGTATGCCATTCAGGTGAATATAAACTTCAGAAAAACCAGTCCTCAGAAGAGGTTTGATTGAATAGGCTTGTGAAAAACACTGTAAATTACTTCTCATTATAGGAGAGTTTTACTCATACTAGTATCTCTTCTTGAAGCTAGCTATACACAGGATAATAATTATATTTTACCTTCATCAAAACTAATTCTGCAACATAAGATTAAAGTCCATAAACAAGGGAACAACAGATTCACATCCTTCCAACTCAGTAGCTGCTACCTACTAATCCAGTGGGATGTTTCTCACTGAGGCACAAATTTGGGAATGAAGGAAATACTAATATGAAAGTTAGTAATGAAGTCACTGAAATCAAATTGACAGAGTGTGAAATAGATGTGTTAACAGACACACTTGATGCACCAGTTACTGTAACTGTCCATCTAAGAACCTCTCCCATCTGCTGTATTAGGCATTTCTATATGATTGTTTTAAAAGAGATCTCTTCAAGACTTTTTTCTCCTGCTATGATACACAAGATTGAATCATGATTTGCCATATATTTATTTACTTCTTCAACCTTAGTTAAAATGCATGATTATTTAGTAAATGTTTGTTTCTTGTCCTTGCTGTTCATTCACTCAAAGCTGCCCTGGAAGTTAGAAGCAGTTGGCATTTGGTTTAGTTAGTGTTAATTCTAAAGGGTCCTTGTGTGCTTATTGTGCTTGGAGTAATCACTGTGATTTTTGCAGCTGCCAGATGATGAGCCTAAGCCTGGGTCTATATTTTGAAACAGCTCTTTTCTGTCCCAGTGTGCTGGAGGAAAAGAGGACAAGTTGGCAGTCTTATTGTGCTCAGCCTAAATCACCAATGAGACACACCCTACTGATTTTGAAAAGAAAACAAGTAAAGTTTACTAATTACTGTGGCATACAAACTGGTATCTTTGATAGTCTTAGACTTACACTACCGTTTGTCTCAGAAGAGCTAAAACAATGGGGGAACTCAAAATTCACCACCTCATTCATTTTCTATTTAGACAGTGAAATATACTGGAACAGCAATTTTTAATCTTTTCCAGACTTCTACTGCTGGTGAAACAGAGTACTCATGGTGGGGACAGAGTGATAATCAGCCTGCCCATTCCCAAACAGTCTCATTTGCCTTCCTTTAATGTGTATTCCCTCTCTTTATTCCTGTATTAGAAAACTGGAATGTGCTTCAGTGCCGTCTGGAATGAAAACTACAGTGGTTTTTAGAGACCTTCTGGTAGCGGTAGCATCCACTGATTCTTTTTGGAACTTGCTCCATACCAGTGTTGTTTCTAATACAATCAAAACATTAGCTGTATTCTAAATTTGCTGAAGTATTCACAAGATGAGCCTGGGATGAAATGTTAGTTTATCTATGTTGATTTTCTCCTTACTACTGTAGCCTTTTGTAGGGAAAAAAAGGTCCTCCAGCCTTTGTCTAAGCATAGAAAAGAATGACTTCAGCTGCCATTTCAGAAACATCTGATGGGATTTTGCAAACCTACAGGGCGATTAAAATGGGAAGCACATGCCAGGAACTGTTCTTCAGAACGCGGTGTGTGCACATTTGAAATAGTTCTGATGGTAGAGTGCAAGATGGGAACATAGGAATGCATAACATGGGGAAGGTAAAATACTATCCAAAGATACACTTCACCTCCTCAAAAGGAGACCTCCTTGTCCCCACAGTTAACGAGTGGAATCAGGTTTGTATGCTTTCTGGATTTACATTCAAGAGAGAAAAAGGTGAGCTCTTCAGATCTCCTTCCCATCATAGAAAAGGTCAAACAATGCTTTTGGCATGAGTTACTTTACAATGATTTGTACCTAGTTTATAATGCTTTCAATAATCTCTGTGAATAAAACAAAGCGTAATTTCAGCACTTCGAATGCTTGTTTTAGAGGAATTCTGAAAGCTGCTCCTTCAGGTTTGATTCTGTGATTGAAAGGCAATGAGATTATTATTTGAAGTGAAGAAGAAAAAAGAATTTAGGTGAAAATATTTGCAGTGATTTACCCATCTCTTACTGTGATCTAATTTCCAACACTTATTTAAAAGAAAAAAAATCTATGATTCCTCTTCACTTCTCATAAATTGACTTCTACATGCTTTCCATAACAATAGCTTTGACTATACGCAAAGAAGATTTCTGCATTGTACTTACACAGTGTGAAATGCAATCAATTAAATAAAAATAAGAAGCATTTAGAAAAGGTGTAAGCTTCAATTATTTTTTATTAATCATTTACTAGTTTATCTCACCAATGGCAATGTACAGCTGGCTACTGGTTAACACACGTAAATGGAAACAAGGCTGCAATGCTTCTTCTTATTATTTCCATTTTTGAAGGAGAAATTTCAGCCTGTTTTTCTGTTGCCTAAAGAGAAAGTAAACTGGTGTTTGGTTGTGATTATTTTTAACAAAAATAAGGGACATACAAGCAAATATGATCTTTCTAAGTTGTTTCTATTACATGATTATTGATAACTTTTTGTAGTACCTATTTTGAATATATGTTGATTTAGGAGTCTGACTCTTGTGCTTTTATTAACTGTCAGTTATATCCCTATGGGTTTGATTAAACTTTCCTTAATGGAAGCAAAGCATCTTATTAATTCTCCATTTTCCTTAGCTTTTCATTGTTTTTTTCCCAGTTATATTTAAAGATTTCAGATATATTCAAGGATTTGAAAGATTGGTTATTTGAGAAGTTTTGTCCATGCTCTTCAAGCTCCCATTCATATTCATTTATGATTTCTGACCAGTGCATTAGAAAATGATTAAAATAATGTTATGTCAATCAGACTGTGGAAGAAACAGTGATGATGTAGTTTTTGTGTCTTACTCTCATTATGTAATTCACTACTGTTTCTCCTGAAAGTCACAAATCTTTGTAACTTTCAGTCCATCTCAGTGGCAGCTTTGCCACTTCCTGCAATACCCCAGGAGCAGACCCAGTGGGAGTCTGTGCAAATTATAATGCCAAAATAAAGATAAAGGTTTAAAGCTTTTATTCTTGGAAGAAAATAAAATGGACAAAGTAAGTCTTATTTCCAAAAGATATTCCTGAAATCAGGAGCTTTGGTGTTATTTCATAAATTATATCTTCTTGTGGGAAACAGGAAAGTGACTGGAGAGACCTAAGACTGACAAGTTTTCAAGGATTGTAGGCAGTTTTCAAGAAGGAAACTGAGGGCTCTGTGAGTTATTTGCAGCTCAAGAGCAGACATTAATGTTGGCTTTGCACTTTAGGAAGCTTTCCTAACCGTTTGACTTGTCATTTTAGAAACATGGGTTCAAATCCCTCAGGTAGGAATTGAATTTGAATTTTTCACATGGAGACAGTTTTCCTGTTGTTTCTTTCTCCAACTGTTTTCTTCAGAATGTAAAATGAAATGAATTGATCCTAATGGCATTTCTTGCTTTTGAATGTCAGGCTGCAAGCAGTAGTGTCACTTTCAAAGGAAGAAAGTAATTAATTTCATCGAAGAATATGAAGGAGGTTTCATGTTGAGTCAGAGAAAATACAGAGATTGAGCCAGGCATACCTGAACTTAGTGGTTGACTTCAGGAATGGCTTTAACTTAGCCATGTTTCAACAGATGTTGTATACTTAATGAAGAGCATAGAGAAATGTAAACGTTTTATTACACCGAAGCAAGCTGTCTCTTCACTTTCAGCTGGTCTGAAGAAAATGTGTTGTGGCAAAGCATTTCTCTTAGCCAAAACTGAGAAGAGAGAGAGTCCATGAAAGAATCTGAGTAATCTTTGTTTTCTGAAGGGAAGGTACAAACGTCTTGATGTAAGAAATTGCTGAAATACTCACTTCTTATAATTCCTTCTTTTTAAGAAATCGTGTGAGCATATACTTGATTTTAATTACAATTTTTGCACTTTCCAGAACCAGGTGCAGCGCAGGTGCAGTCCTCTCACAGAAAGTTGGTACTTAAATTACTGCGTGAACAGGAAGGGAACTGAGTTATGAACGAAAAAGTAAATGGTGTGAAATCAAAACAGGCTGACTCTTGGCACATAGAGTTGGTGTCACTCCCGTTACCTACTTGGGGAATCTAATGTCTGTTATAGTGAAGAACAGCCAACTCATTATCACAAATATTGGCCACTTTAAAGTTCAAGTCTTAAAATATCCACTGTAATGTAATGTATTTTCATATGATTGGCCAAGGTAATCAGTGCTAGGAAAGAAGACTCATATCTACATGCAAAGATATTAGCGTCTACTGCTGGTGTTGAGACTCAGCTGTGTTATCAGGGCTGTGTGCTTCTTTGTGACTAAGAAGTTTGCCATTATGGATGGGCAGAGACCTACATAGCATTAGTTGTGGGCATATTTACTCATCCAGTGCAAAACACAGAATGTTAGTAATTGCTTTTTTGTAACTCCTGATTTCTCCAAGTCATGGAGAACAGGAGGGACCTTCAAACTTGCTGAGACAGTTTGTCTCAGCATTTAACACAGTGCGAATGAAGTTTAATCTTTTTTTCAGTAACTTAAATTCTAAGAAAGAAGCATATGGGAGTGAGTCTTTTCACTGTAGAGGCAAGTCCCTTGGATTTTGACCCAGCTCCTACTCCCATCTCTGAATGAAACAAAGGAAGAAGTTCCATTCACTATAGGATCATTCTGTGCTTTCATGTGATAACAACGACAAGCTTCAGTGAAATAATGTATTTAACTTTTATAAAATAGTAACGTTTAGCATCATTAGAAGAAAGGCTTTAAAAAGTCTTACAAAAATTATAGCATTCAAAATCTCTCATTTGTAAATTGGAATAAGCTGTATCATTAGAAAAAAACTTTTCATTTGCAAGATGCAGTAAGTGCTGTGCCATCCAAATTCTTAATTAAAAAGCAGAAGAATCCATTTTCCCACTTGCTCTTCTTTGTTTCTTACCATAACTTCTTTTTTTTCCTTGGTACTGCAAAGTTTGATATCAGAAGTGATGTATGAATCATGTCTGCTTCAGAGAAATATACACAAATAATATCCCATCATTTTGTATTTTAATGGGCATAAATCCTGTTCTGGACACTGCACTCCACACACCCCTCTTTACTCATGAGGTGTAGAGAAGGAGGTTGGCTTGACAGAAATGAATTTACAGAAGTGACTCAGCAGTGAGCACAGCTGATAATGCTGAGGCTGTCATCATCTTTCTATTTACATACTTAACCTATGAGTGTGGCTACTGAGTACCAAGTGAGGCTGTGCCCTTCCACCCATAGGTGAAGGAAATCTCTCAGACTTTTTTTCTTTGCGAGAGAAGGATTTCAGCCAAAGGATTTGCCAGTGTGAAGAAGATGAGAGCATGAACACAGAGAGAGTGGGCTGGGGAGTTTAGGTGCCCAAGCAGTTTAGGAACCCAGTCTTTGGGAATGCTGTGGAACTGCCAGAGCACAAAAGCAGTGTAGAAGGAGAAGAGGAACATGGAAGCATAGAACAAGTTATCATCTGAAGCTGTTGAGTAATGTGGAATAAAATATGTTAATATGAAACTACATTTTTTACCTGAAAGTAAATCCCCAAGGAACAAAACTGAAATTGTGTTTTTTGGTATTTTGTTTTGTTTTGGGGTTTTTTTTGCATTGTCTTCTGTAAAGAGAGACATCCTTCAGTTCTGAATTATTTAATTCCAAAGGTAATACAGGTTTTGTGGGTTATATACTTGCTCTATGCTGGTTTAAAATCAACATGCTTCAAGTAATGCTCTTTGTTAAGTGTGTAGATAATTGATACTCCCACCCTTCAAACTACACTTTCACATGTTTGGGCATAACTTATTTCCTCAAAATTTTGGACTTCAGTGTGTTTCAATGTGTGAAGCAGATGGTCTAGAGCAATGGGAATTTTTCAGGGTGCTCAGTTACAGCCCTTCTGGTAAAGGGCTAGGCAGACCTACTTGACAGATCAGCACTTCATGTGCCTTTTAAAAACTTTTATGTTTTTCAAAGAATTATCGATGCCTATGTAGAAAGAACGCCCTCTTTCCTTTTATCAGCTGTCATCATTAATGGGAAGCTGGCACTGCTTTATTTAGCCTTTAGTCGAGCTGAGGTTCTCATTAACCATTTCTGATTGTGGCTGTTGCCCATATAGCTCTATGGAATTGCAGAACAAGGTTCTGTTCTCCACTCTTCTGGTAGTTTTGGCAAAGCTATTGCACCCCAGTTTTCTGATTATTGGAACTAGAACACTTTACATGTGTTCTAAGTGTATCTGTTTACACTTCTTTTATAAAGGTAGTTATTTTATTCTGCCCTTTCAATCAGGCAGTGCAATGTAACCAACAGTAACAATTAGTGACTCATTTAGTAATTTAACTGGAAACGTTATTAGATTTATTTTGCTCATAAAAATGATTGTCTAACAAATAAAATATTCCACAGTGCACTGTAGCACAGCAGTTTTTCCACAAACAAGTCATGATTTAGAGAACAATTTTTTATTAATGCTTTAATTTAATTTTAGTACATTGTTCATATTAATGCCTTTCAAATTATAATGCTTTAATAAGTGCTCTGAGTACATCAAATAAGACACTTTAAATAACTTCAGGAAATGAAATTATTGCCTGTTTAAGAACAATATGCACACTTACCTGAGTATGTATAGTCATGTTGTTGTGCATAACCTTCCTTTAGTGGCGCTCAAGCACCTTATTTAACGTGGGAATCAGAATTTATTATTAATGTGGCAAGGGGGCATCAAACTATGGTGGATGAAAAAGCATGTTCAAGAAAGATAGCAAACATAAGTAGTAAGCCTGAAAGAAATTGAAAAAAAAAAGAAACAGCCAGTAGAGAAAACTACTTATTTTGGAAGTAAGAAATACAGGACTAAAGCGATAACTGCCAAAAGTCAAGCTGAGTTAAATCTTTAAAGGTTGTTAAAGTAAATGACAAAAGGTTCTTTGGTTGTATAAAGAAAAAAAAAGGAGATAAATTATCTGTGAAATCAGAGTGGGGTAGACAATTTAAATGAATACTTCATCCCAGTTTTCAGTAAAGATGATGTTGATACTATTAGAAAACCTGTAAGTCCTATTTTTGGTGTTCATCTGCAATTCATTATCTAATCCTTGTCACCCATGCTTAAGAAACAGGCACTCAGACTGGATCAGTGTAGAAAACAGTGGAAGTGGAGAAGGGAGATTTTTAAAAGAGATGGAAGATCTAACGTTTATAAGCAGTAAAATGCAGGCTGAGAAATGATTATTGCCTAGAGATTTCATCAGAGTTGTAAACAGTACTGGAGGAGGAGAACTGTTCCACCTGGATCACATCACTGTCACACGAACAAGCTGGCACAGACTTGCTAGCACTTTTAGACCAGAATTGAAGAAAGAAGGTTGCATATTGTCATAGCAGTGAACAGTAGGACCAAGAGCTGGAAAAATTAACTGGTTTTGAAGATGGAGCCTGACAAATCAGGAAGGGTTATGGGTACAGTTCCTGGTGATGACACAGGCTTGGAACTGGTAATGCAGAAGATGTCTCCCAGTCAGCATTCATAAGTGAAAAGTTATTAGAAGTTAATCTCGTCTCTTCTATCCCTTTTTCCATATTAAAACAAACAAAAACAAACAAACAAACAACAGTGTACCATCACGACCTCTGTATACATGTGGGATAGAAACTGAGTAAAGCAAACACAAGAACGTTTTTTTTCTTGATGTGGAATCTGCCAGGTGGAGGTGCCAGTTTTTCCTAAGCAAAATAAAGGGGGGAATTTTTATATAGTTGGAGGCTTTTCCTCAAAAATACGTTTCCAAGCTGGCAGATATTTTCTCATTCAGATGATGTAATTTGATCAGCTTTAGCTTATCGAGTTCATAGAACTGATGTTGATTCAAACAGCTGAAGCTGCTCTACCCTACAGTTTTCATAGAAATGTTCATATGATTCATATGTCAAGTTACCCTGTAAGATCTTTAACTTTCCCCCTTTTACTTCTCTGCTTTTTCATTCCAGTAGTTACCTATATGTTAAGATCTTAACATCTCACAGTCTTCTGTACAGTTACCCTCAATATGATCATCTTCTGAGTGTGGGTTTCCAGATAGTGGAAGTTGGGCATTGGGTGGGCACTGGCATCATCACCAGCTTTGTCCTTACAAGCAGTGGGTGAATGTGTCATGAGCCAATGAGTGCAGTGAACTCAACTGCCCCTGTACGTGCTTTGCTGAAGGGATTAAGGGATGGAATCGTGGTGATCTTCAGGTTATGAAAAGCACAGGTGTTTGCCCTGTGTCTTGTGTTTTAATGAGATCTGAATGCAGTGGTGCTTTTGGAAAAATATCTAAAAAAGCTTAAGCTGATAAAATAAAAATCTGACTTCAGTGTTTGACAGAACAGATGTCTAAATTGTTTTGTTGTGGAGCAGCAAATAAGGGATGACAAGTTTAAAAACATTGTTTCTGCGACTACTCCAGAAAGACATGGTTTCTTCCATGGTTAAATTCTGCAGGAGGATTTAGTCATTCCTTTTCAGGAGCTGCACACTATCAGCTACAATTTGAATAGGTCTTTCTCAGCTTAATTTGCCTCAGTTGTCCAGCAGTTGCATCATTTTACTGCCACGGTTGCCAAATTTATTTCTGTAGGCAACATGTGATTTGCTTGTGAAGTTTCACAGTGTGTTTTGTGTAAAGATGAGAAATACAAAGATTACCCCAAATACCAGAAAATACAAGCTGCTGCCTCAGATCACTGAGGTCCCACTGCATGAGTAAATGAGTGTTGTATTCACTAACTGTTTTGTTCACTAGGTGATGACAATTCTGGAAGAAAGGTGATTACCTTCAGTTGCTGCCGTATGCCCCCCTCCCACCAGCTCAATCACACCAGATTGCTGGAGTAAGTTTCTCTCAATCTCCTGTGTGGACTGCTTTACATTCACAGAGTCGCATTTATATGTGAACCTCTTTTAGCTTGTTTCCAGATGAATGAGTTTTCAGAGAGGAAGAAGCAGGAGGCAGTGAGTGAAATGGAAAAATGATGTACTTACTAGTGTTAATATTAAGTCAATGAGATGTGGATGAAACTGTCGGTTTCTTCACCTGGAATCTTGACTAGAGAAAGTAATTCACTGTGTACTGAAATTGAATCCGTGTTTTGATTTTATTGACGAATTCTGATATTTTAAAACAAAAGAATTTATGATGAAGACCAGTGAAAGAGGAATTCTAGTATTTTAGCGCTGTGTACATATGTTCTCATGAATGACGAGTTTGCTTTGATTTGCTATATTTCATTTCCTTAATCACCTAGCAATAACATTTTGTTATTTATGTTACTGTTTTTCCTCTTTTATAAGATGACCTACATCAAGTACAATACTATTTTTTAAATCTCTTATATCTCACCTTGTAACAAGCAGTTGATTGTACAAAAATATTGGTTATTTTATTCCTTCAAAGCTCCCTCAATTATTTTTAGAAGTACAGGCTTTCTGTAGGCAATGTGCCAAGGAATTTGCATGCTGTAAAATAAAACAGGCTCTCTGTATGTCAGAGTATATGTTTAGATATATTTATGTTTTCATTACACTCTTTTTGAAAGTCTTGAATTACTGTTGATGGTAATTCCATTGTAATACCATTTAATACTCAATTCAGGTATCAAAACAGTATTATGTAAATAGCAATAGCATTCCTTGTCCCAGACTATCTGCAGTCTTAAGGTTTTCAGTATCATAGATGAATAAGCGGATCAGTAAGACTGTGGGAGTACAGCATAGCAGTGAAGTTATGTGCTTTTGCATAGGTGAATAGTCAGTGTGGCCTTGATACTTTCAGGTAGCCACAGCCTAATAAGTGTCACATGAAACTGTCTATTTACTTGAATGAGTGAAGAACGGTATCTGGGACTCTGTCACAGAATAATAAGATAACATTGAGAATGACATGAGAAAGTTGAAATCTGACACAGCAAGAGATGAGGCCAGATTGTACTCCTCCATCATTGCTTTATTTGAATCACTGAGCTGTGTAATAGACCATGCAGTGCTCTCAATTGTAGGAGAAAAGGAAAAGTGTCTTACACTATACCACAAAAGAATCAATGCACTGAAATCTGCTTATAAAACATATACTTTTATTTCAAGATGGGATAACTAGTGTAGTTCTTCAAATTACTTTTAAAGGAAATGATCTATAAATGTAGTCCTAGCAAAGCAAACAAAAGAAAGGCAAGTGCATTCAAGAAAACAGTTTAAAGTAACCAGTTGTAATTGGCAGTAATTAGAGTTAATGGATTTTTCCAAGAATTTGAAATCTTTTTATTTGAGAGTAAGAAGATTTATCCCTTATTATTTTGAAAGGTCAAAATGTCTATGTTTATTTGGCTAATTGTTGATAAAGGCAAGAAAAAAGCAAAATAGAAGTTGCTGCCAGTTAAAATGTATCCTTTAAAATATTTACTGAGCAACACAGTCATATATTGTCTTCATCTTTTAGTGATTTGTGAGTACCGTTGTTTTTATAACTAAATATGTTCATAATGTGGTGGAATTACTGGTAACGCTGCCTCTAAAACAAGATGAACTTGTTTGATAAATACATTGAGGAAAGCATGAATCTGCAGTCATGAATGTTCAGTGCAAAACCAGTGCATTTACTTTCTCAGTTACTGCTTTAAAATCCAATACACTGTCTTAAAACTAAAATGGTATCTTTTCAGGTACTTAAAATATACTCTGGAACAGTACGTAGAGAATGATTATACAGTTGTCTACTTTCACTACGGCCTGAAGAGTCTGAATAAACCATCACTGAAATGGTTACAAACAGCCTACAAAGAATTTGACAGGAAGTATGTCTCCAGAATATTCGGTTTGTGTGTGTGTGTAAAATGTCTGTAGCTAATGGTTGAGTTAATTTTGCCATTGCAAATTCTTGTAATGGCCTCAGTCTGTTGGTTCTCTTATAAATGTCTTCTGTGCACTGCTTAGTGTCTAGGTGCTGAAATGATTATCCAAAGTTATACAAAGACTTGGTAGCAAGACGTGAGCCATCATCTTTCTGTGCACTATTTAACAAGCTTGTGACACCTTACTATCCGTCATTCTTGATTATCTCACAGGTTTTTTTTTTAACCTTAAATCTTCTGAAAGCTAGGTTGTATATGAAATAGGACATCCTAACAGGCAGTTTCTCAAAATACTTGTAATATTCATTTTTTGTTATATGTAAAGTGCAGAAATGACCCCTGTCAGTCCTTTGAAGTATCAATGACTGCTACTGACTTATATTTTGGGTGAGTGGATGTGTTGTTGACTAGGCAGAGCTCCTAGGTAGATAGCTTTTCAATAGAGGAAACAGTTCTAAAGTTTATTCTTTGAAAACAAGCACTTGTCAATAAAGCTGGAAGTTCCTGTTGAAATCAGTTAGGCTTTTACTTGTTCATAAGTTATTTTACTTGTTTTCGAGTTGTTTTACTTGTTTTTTGAGTTGGCCAAAAAAGGGCAACAGATCTGGAAGTGGAAGCATTCATAAATGGCTTTTTCCCAAAGTGGAACTGTAGATGTGCTTGTGTGTGCGTGTTGGGGGATGAATCGTATGTGCCTGATTTTTCCAATCTGGGAGCTGGATCAAGAAGCAAATCTCCAAAAAGACACTGTGAAAGAGGTTAATGTGTATTTCTAGATTAAACTGCAATATAAATACACAAGCATTTAACACATCTGTGTACCAGCCTGCTTTGAAAATGGAAATTCAAATATGCAAAATTTGGTTATCTAGTGCCAGAGCTCAGTCTTTTGAATCTCACCCAATAGCATCCTGTAACTCTAAAACCCACTATGCAAGAAAACTGCAGCCATCCGAGCTGCAGAGATGAGCTGTCATTTGAAGTATCTAAGTGCTTTAATGAGAAATTGATATCGGTTCGGCAACAGATCGAGAAAGCTTATTTTTGCTAGTAGGATTCTGAATATGTTTGCTATAATGCATTTATTGTTTGTGAGACAGGGTAAGGAAGAAAAAATGGCAAAGGATCTCCTATATTTTGTCTTCGGTGAAAGGTTTGGGCTATAATAGTGTTTTTTGCTGTGCTTTGACAGTTCCTGAAAATAAACCACTCTGTGGAATTGGAAGCGTACCCTATCATATTATTTTCCTTCTGAGACAATTCCAAGCCTAATTTACAGCAGCTGTATAGGAAGAGGCAGTAAGAGGGACTATATCTTCCTCAGTTTTGTTGCCTTCTCTCCTGCATATATCTCAAGAACACAATTACACCAGAAATCTGTTTTCTCCATTTTCACTCTGTCCCAGAATGCAAGAGAACCAAAGAGGAGCAGATAATCCCAGGTAGCTTTAGAAAGCAGGCAACCTCACACCCATCATTTTATTCACAGCTGAAGTTCATGCATGCAGTCACCGAGAAGCTCACAGCAGTATTTACAGTCCAGCATTTATGTTTAGCTGTACTAGCCAGAGAGAAAAAAAACAAAAACACAACACAAATGCAGTACCTTTCAGACCTGTTCCATTTGTGTATTTTGAGGGTGAGAGAAAAGATATAGAGGAAGATTGTAATTAGCTAGTATCATGAAAGGAAATGTTCAACTGGAATAATTTCAAGGTAGTAGTTCTTGGTTTTCAGGTTTATGGCAGAAGTCCAGTGTAGTCTTCTGGGCATTCAGTTGTAGTTCAAGAAAATATGAAGTATGTAAACTTCCACAGAAATGCAGGTTTATGCCTTCTACTTTGAGATGCAAAGCAGACTTATTTCAGTGAAGCAGCTCAGTTGTGTTGCTTTTGAGTTTTTATCACTGAATTCGAGTTTACAGCAGTGCCAGTTGTGCAGGAGGATAGTTATCTGCTTGTATGTAATACTGGCTTTGTAAAAACAGCACAGACATACGTGGGCCTGTTCAAAACCCAAAAGGAAAAACTGTTTCAACTATTGAACTATTTTAACTGCTAAGTTGATCCTCTTTTCCCTCTCACAATAACCTGTTACATAAAGGTTTTTTCTTGAGAGTTAATGACTATCTTTTCTTTTTTTTTCTTTTTTTTTCCCATAAGAATGAATGGTCAGCACTGGGGAGGATTCTCCAGCTTTGAAGCAAAACTTTGCAAAGCCCTAAGCAACAGTTTATGTATAGAATAGAAAGAGATACTTGATTGTGGGTTTTCTCAGTTTCATTTTTCAGTAAGGTTGAGTAAGATCAGCATGTTCCTGTGGTGCCTAGTTTCCATTTCAGTTTTAGCCTGCTAGAATCTATTGTTTATGTACCATTATATGACAACATGGAATCAAGCAGTGCTGTAATGGAGAATGTTTTTGTTTTAAACAAAGAGGGCCATCTGATATAAAACAATGCATAATTGGCTTCAACTTTAGTAATGACTACAAAAACAAGATAAAAGTAGCGAGAAAGAAGATTAGGTCTAAATTTTACAGCTGAAAATATATAAATTTCCTCCTGTATGAAGCTCTTTTATGGAGAAAATAAAGAGAAATGGAGGGAATCCATTTTTAAGACTTCCTTCTCCCCTCAGTTCTTTTTCAGGTTGCTTCATCTCATAATTTTCCCCCTACCCTCCAGATATTAAGCCCTTAAGACAGAAGACTTTGGTGAGGATTAAAATAGTTATCTTGGAATACTATTGTATCATCAAAAGTAACCTTTTTTTTTTTATTATAAAAAAGTCATTTTATGTTGAGTTTCTCCCGAGTTAAGCCTTTTTAATGTACTTGAATAAAACACTGTATGATATTCCTGTAATAATACCTTCCATTCAGTTGTACCTACTCATTTCTACAGTCTATGATATTCAAAAATTTTCTTAACAATTTCATTTTTTTTTCCTTAGGTATAAGAAAAACCTCAAAGCACTCTATGTTGTACATCCAACCAACTTCATAAAAATTCTGTGGAATATTTTTAAACCTCTTATAAGGTACTTGGCAATTTTCCTGTCTAGTTTAAAGATGATTTGTTCTCTTACAGGTTGCTTTTAAAAAGCTTGAGGTAAAATATATCAAGTAACAGCACAACACCCATTTAAACTGGCTTGAACTAATGCATAAGATGAGCTTAAGCTTGAGTATGCAAAACAGGGTAGAGGGTATTTTCTTTCTAAGATAATGAAGTCTTAATTAATAAAGGGTTCAGTGGTGTGTTAAAGTAAATAGTCCTTCAAAACATAGTTATTCTGTGGGCATGAATGACTTTTTTGTTCTGTTTAACAGCACTTGGCACAAAAAAAACTAAGTCCATGACTGGAGTTTCTAGGTGGTATGGTAAAGCAGGTAATAAATGGCTAACCTTTGGTCTGATCTCAAGTGCTGAGATGAATTGGACTGATAATACTAGTGTGTTCAAAGTTAATGAATAAGCCCTGAAGTGCTCATAAGAGTTTGAGATAGACAGTATAATGGTGGGTATATTTTACCAGTGGATTCTTTTCCTTTTCACTGTAAAAATTAATGGTAGCTACAAGGAACCAGCAATGATGGATGGATTCCGACAAACACTAAGTTGGTTGGACTTTAAGTTTTTGCTCCTGAACTTCTGCCACTTTCAAAGTAATTCCAACACGTTGCAGATTATGAATGTCCTTAGAGTTGAAAGAATAAAACAACTTATCCCTAAAAGCCATGAAATAGTGAATCAACTCCTAATGTACGTTATGCTAACTTGCACTTTCTGACTGGGTAGCAAATTAATTAATTGTAAAGGTTAACTTTTAGACAGGTCAGAACATGAAAGAAGCATGTGAAATTTAAAAAAAATGCAGCTAGAACTCATTTTGTAATATATCATTCATGAAATGTCAGTAATCCAGGACACAGACCAGCCGTGACAAAACTGTGACAGAAGCAGGAGGTGCAGTAGCTGATTCAACTTCAGGAACTGTATGGATATTTTTTATTCCTGATTTGCTGTAGGATGGCTATGAGGAGTTATCCAAAAGGTTTTGGAAAAACAAACAAAATAGAAATAAAAATAAAAACAAACAAACAACAACAACAAAAAACAGGAACACAACAAACAAGTAGTCATGATTTGTTCTAAGATGACTCAGGCACAGCCAACTTCTTTCTAAGAGGCAGTTGAGAATGATTTGTGGGGTGCTGAGAAGTCAGCTTCAGGCCAAGTTGTTAAGCCAGGCATTGTGTGGCTAAAGGAAGAAGTAGAATAGTGAAGGACAGCTATTGCCTGGGAGTATTCAGCTGCTGATCACACTGTGGTGTGGAATCAGTGCTGGCTCCAGGGTTTGAATGTATTTATAACCCTCCTTGCACTTCAAATTTTCAGTGTCCCTTTGGTCTTAATGCTCTCAATGGGGCTACAGGTGGATAAACACTGCTGCTAATTCTTGAAAAAAGTACATATACATGGTTATCTCTTCAAGCATTCATTTTCCCTGGATCTTATGATGTTTGCATAGATAAGATAAATACCTTTTTCTTTCTTGGAACACTATTATTACTATTGAATGTTGGCATTTAAATCATTATTTACTTTGGATGTAAAAATGGGTGCTCCTGATAAATTTAAGCATTCATATCCAGCACAGAAAATTGAAAACAGCATTTGTCATCTTAGATACACGATCATCTTGTCCTTCTTAATGCCCCGTTTTCATAGCAATGAACAATTCATGTTGTGCTTGACTTTTAGTACTGCTTACCTGGATACTTGTTTTGAGTCTAATCTGATAGCACTCTGCTCCTTGTTAAAAAGAAAGAAAGAAAAAAAAAAAAAAGTGACCAACAGAAACAAATTGGTACACCGGCAATAATAATAATAGCAATGATTATGATACTATTTATTATGACAAAATAATTGAAGGAATGAATTAACTTTGAAAAGTCAATTACGGAGAATTCTTCGTAAGCCCATGGCTTATGTATGATGTTGAAATCAGAGACCAGAAAAAAAAAAAAAAAAAGACTTGGAAAAAAGACAAGCTGAAAAATCTGAAGTTCTGCACAGTGGGCTAATATCTATCAGTAATAAAACCACTCGTCTGATGGCAAAATTTTGCACTTTCCACTTGAGAGCTTCTAAAATGCCCAAGTGACTTGCATTTGTGTCATCGCCCACTAGAGGGAGCGTGCGTATGCGTGTTTGACAATTCAGTGATAAATTCATTACTGCGAGAGAATTTGTCTCTAGTTCAGCTATCAAAGTAACACGCAGCGAGGCACAGTTTTCATCATGAACACCTACTGCTTGTATTGACAATTCATTACAGGACAGACACTTTGTATCCCAGAAAAATATGACATTATTTTGGACTGTATGTAACTGAAACTCAAAACCTAACTTGCCTTCCTTCTCGCACCAAATTTGGAAAATCTGTTTTGTTCAGCTCATCAAGAGAGCTTTATTGTTCAGAAGCTATCCAGCTCTTTTCAAAACTGATAAATCTGATGGCCCTGCACTTCAAGGATGTACATTATCCATTCTTTGAAAATCTTGCCTGTCATTTAATACTTAATGGTTTGTGTCTGTAGTCCCATTATTTCATGTCTTGGTAAGAACAAATATCTAAATAACACAACCGTTGTGTTGGGAATGCAACATTTTCTCCAGAGTTAACAATTATTTTAGTGAGCTTTCTAATGCTGTGTGAAAGCTGTTTTTCAGTGGCTTTTAAAGCAGTGTTTTTCATATCTATGCAAATCAAAAAACATTCAGACGAAAGTCAGTTATTTTTATTCAAATCAGACTCTCAGGCATGCACTGTATATGTTTGATCATACAAAATGAAATACATCTCATGTCTCCTGCTGCTTCAATTACAGTCTAATTTTGAGTTGCATCAGCACTTACATTTTTGTAATGGAAACTAAAGCCTTCATAAATGCTTCTCCCATGCTGATTTTTGTACTTTTTTTCTTTCTGATTTTTTTTTAGCCATAAGTTTGGGAAAAAAGTCACCTACTTGAACTATTTAAGTGACCTGAGAGAGCATCTCAAATATGACCAGCTTAATATTCCTCAAGAAGTCATCCGGTACGTGTCAAGTTTCAAATACTTTGTCTCACATTTTTTCAGGTACACTTGTGTTACATTCACTGTATTCCAAGCAGAATCTAATCCTATTTCTTCAGTGACTGGAAGTTTAATTTACCTTCTGTGCTTGATTGGATCTAATTCTGAAATCTGCATTGTCATGTAAGACGTGCTAGAGTGTGTCACATATGTACACAGGAGAACCCTATGTAGTTTTCTACAGGTCTGAAACCTCTACATTTCAGTTGTGGAGCATTTTCTTCATATAATTGCAGCCTCAATGTGAGTGTTAACAAAGTCCATGTGTTGCTACTACTTATGGGTACTGCATAATGTCATCAGCAAAAATACAATCCTGACCTCTTTGCTTGCATATTGTAATGGATCAAGTGACTTCCATTTATGAAGAGCTATCACAGTCAGCAAAGAGTTAATTGATTTTGAATTTTATGGATATGTCTATTGTTAGCAGATCAATTATTTTAACGTGGTGCTTGTGTGTGTGCTACGGAGGAGTAATGGAGAGGGAAAGATTAAGAAGTACATCGGGCTGGGATTATCAAGTGCCAATATTAGTATCAATAACACTCTTTTCAACACTACTCTTTACATGGAAATGCCTTGATATACTGACAGGAAATGATTTTATGTCACTGCTGAATGAAAGTAACTGGAAGCTTTGATTATGACTGTTACTGACACCAGGTGGGTTTTTACACATCTTCTGAGTAAATAGGGAATAACTGAAAATACCTTAGAGCTCTGAGGTTATAAATTAGATTGCAAGGTTGCAAAAGAGAGGAGATTTGTATTCTGAGTAGCAAAGAGGCTTGAATTTTCTTTTAAATTATAGAGTGTTCCTATTTTTTGGACACATTTATTCCTGTACTCCATTGGCTACAGCAAAAAATAAAAATAAAGAAAGCTCTTTTTTGTCTTGCTTAAGAATTCTTTAGCAAATATCTCTTAAAAATTTCCCTATTGCTTAAATTATAGTAAATGTAAATCTTGTAAGACCCACAGCGTATACACTGTTGTCAGGTGATCAGCATCAACACTGGTAGCTGCTGTTCATATATGTAACTTGTCAGCTGTGATGCATAGAAAATCAGTGACTTTTTGATTTTTACAGACATGATGAAAATCTTCGGGGGAAACACAAGGGAAAACTGCCTCCTGTGGTCAAGGTTCCTCCACCAAGACCACCTCTACCTACCCAGCAATTTGGAGTCAGCCTGCAATAGTAAGCTATGAGATTTCTGAAAAAGAAGATTTCTATATCCTGCAGCTTTCTGTAATATGCAGGTTCACTAGACACAAAGTCTGCAGACATTTTTTTTTTTTAGTGTATGTTTAGTTTCTCATTCCCTTTGAAAGCCATAAATCTACGGGGTTAGGCAGTAATATTTATCAATTTGGGACAGGTCTTACAATCCCTGTGCCTGGTCTTCATGCTTGTAGTATCTTTGGGGTAGTTAGTGCTACTACTGCTGCTCAATTTTTCTCTCCATGGACAGAAATTTGCCTATAAATGACAGTCCCAAGCTCACCTGTTGCTGGTGGTTGCTGGCAGATAGGAAAGTGTTTTGGAGTTACTGATAGATAACTTGTGGATAGCAAAGCTTCAGAGTCAAAAATGGCTGCAAAAATCTAAAATGGATGTTTTAGCCTTTATAAATTGATAAATTGTTGCTTTGTTGCCCAAGTATTGTTCTTATCAGAGCTCTATGGAATGAATACAATCACTCTTACACAAGGGCCCTCACAGCTGTTTATGTAAATTACAGCACAGTATCTGGTATAAAAAAAATGATTTACTTAACACAAGGAATGGAGGAATGGGATAGCAATATACTTTCAAAAGGCGATTTTGCTAAAAACAGCTAGAACAAAACACAGAAGCAAACAAAACCAAAAAAGCAAAGAAATGTAGACACCTGAAAAGTAACAACAGCAGTGAAAACTGCAAAATCTTCTTCTAGCTTCCAACTAAGTAATTTCTGTCAAAGACTTGGAAAGCTATCTTGCCATGGCTTCTTCTTCAAGAGCAGCTGGCAAATGTTCGCATTCAAAAAAAACAATTTATTCTGTCTGATCCATGGACATTTGGATTTCCTCCCACCCCCCAAGTCTGCTTATCTGGTGCTAATGATTCAGCTATAAATGAGATATAAAATATAATTTTCCCCTGCTAAATGTTAAACATTAGTCCTCTGTGGAAGGCCTGATATTAGAACAATCAGTATCTATCGTATAAGAGCTGCTATGGCATTAACTTTTATGATACCTTTTTAGAATCCAGCCTAACACTTGAGACGTGAGTAAGTCACTTCCCTAATTCAGAAGATATCTTTTAGGTAGACTCCATTGGGTCATTAAGAAGGGCAATGTTTTATGCTGCTGCTCCTGTTGTAAAAGTGGGACTGCTTACTGGCATCAGGGCATGCAGTTTCTTGCTTCCAGTCCATCCTGGAATTCCAATAAGTTCTATCTAAGCTCTCACAGGAGACAATGTCTCACATGCCTCAGCATTCCTGAATATAAAAAGGATGACAATCCTCTATGACTTCAAAAGAAGAAATAAATGAATTAATATATGCCATATTTATGAAGAAGGTAAAGCTAATGGAGGAAAGAGAATGATATGTGTTGAGAGCTTCTAAAATCTGAACCAGAAAAAAAGTATTCTCTTGGTGAATCAATTGCTTTTACTTGTTCCCTCTCCTTCTATGAGGTCTATAGTCTGTAATGGCAAAATTTCTGTGATCTCCCATGTATTTAGCAAAGATACAGGTTTGAAGCCTTCTCCTAGGTGAGGCTCTTTCTGTTTGCTGAAAAGGATGCAGAATGACCCAGATTTTATTTTATGGGAATATGTGTGCTGTGTGCCATGTGTTTCAGTACTGTCAAGTGGAAACAGTATTATCAGTGATGCTATTGAGAGAAAGTTATTGCCATTAAAGGACTATTTCTTGCAGACTTCTTTTTCTGTAATGTAAGAAAAGAAATATTAAGACTCATAAGCCTGAAGTTTCATTTGTTTCAGCACCTTTGGAATGATGATCTTTAATTAGGCAGTTAAAAGATGGTGAGTGAGATTATCCAAAGCCTCCTAGATAGCCTAATTTTGATCAGATGTTAGACAATGATATCCCAATGACTTCTGGATATGGAAAGTAGAAAAACCCATTTCTTTTTGAATGTTCTTCTGTAAAAAATCAGGCAATGCTGTTGTCTGGACCACAGTTAGCAGCCACCATGTTACTCATGAAGAATATGAGTAGAAAGAATTTTGGTCATTCCAACCATGTGTGTATGAAAACTTCATAGCGGCACACTCGTAGGCATTTAATTTGTGTCTCACAATTTCAGATAGCTACTGCAGACATTTTCAGGGTGTTTCAAAAATTTGCGTGTACTAGTTTTTATGTACTTTGGTTATTATAGGTGTAGAATAATAGAGGGAGCTTTAGAAATTATAGTTTATTTAAAAGAGCTTTTCTGTGAGTCAAGGTGCTGCTGTTGTATGGTGCAATGAAATAAATGAAGCTAAAGAGGAGCTCTGAATCATGTGTAGAGAGGAGTTTGAACAGTCAAATCACTGTTTTTACTGCTTGAGGCATACACAATGCTCTTTCTGTAGGCACAGATCAAACACATGCTATAGATGCAGAAAGGAAGATAGATTACATAGTTACCTGCCTGTGGTCCCAATTTTCCAAATGCCTATTAACAGAAACCTGTGAAGGAACCCAGGATCTTGTGCAGGAGTGGACTTAATGAGAACAACTATTTTTAAAGGGAAATGTTCATTATGATTGATGCCACTGATTCTCTGAAACCTAGAAGTATTCCTACATGGTATGTTTGAATCTTACCTAGGAGAGCAAGACAATAAAGATATGAGAGAGATTCAGTAGATCAGGGATCTGTTCTGGGCTGAGTCACAGAAATTTGTTATCCATGCCAGCTGTTCACACTGTGATTCAGCAAAGATCTTAACCCAATTTTATTTCAACTTAGATCTTTGGAATTTAAGTGTGTAACTTGTTGCTCAGAGACATGAATTTGAAGCATGTATCATTGTGAGCTCCTATGAGGACACTGTTGTTTGGTCTTCACAATTGGAACTTGAATCTGGTACCAAGTTCTCCTGAAGTCTACATGGGAGGTACTGCAGTTCTTAAACTCATAATAAATGAGCTTAGTAAAGGCATCAAGAAGTGGCAATAGGATTTCTCTGAAGCATAGGAGAAAAAAAAGAAAAAAAAAAAAAAAAAAAAAAAAAAAAGGCGTGCTCTCCTGAATTAATTCTTTATGCCTATGTGTACAGAGCAGACTTGCCCAGTTGGCTTGGCTGAATGTCTTTCCAAGATATTTTTGGCCTCCAGCCTGGTTTTCCTGGGTGCCAAATTCTGCCTGTTCCAGTGGCCCAGAACACATTTAAATATTAGATCTCATGTTGAAAGCAATGTGATTCTCTTGAAAATGTAGAATAACACAACTGAAACTAATGTACATCTTAATGGGCATATTGGGCAGAACACTCCTTCTGAGGAAGTTTTGCCCACACTTGATTTTTCAGACATAATTTAGTGGGAAACCGTGCTTCATTTTGACAAGCACTTAAGAATCAGTTGGTAAAATATTTTGTGTGTTTATTGTAAATTATGTGCTTTAGCTAACTCAAGCTTCTCATGTGCAGAGGGAGCAAGCAGATAAAGAACCATGATGAGTCAGTTTAAAGTTCTATCAAGCCTCACATTCTGTCTCCAATAGAGGGTAATAGCAGAGGCTAGCAATGAGCAGTGTTAGAAAAGGGCAAGTGTACAGGGATGCACCCTCTGCTATAATGCTGTTGTTTGTAGTCACTCCTAACTTGCAAAGGATAGCATGCAGTGCTATGAAAATTACTTTGTTGCTCACCAGTAGCTGTAAATTTTATAAATCCAGACATTTCAAAGAAAGCTCATGTGTCGTGGTCGTAAAGCAGGACTAGCTTTGTGTTCATTCTGCCTGGCTATCTTCACACAAAAAGTGCAGAGCAGCAGGAATTAGCTATTCAGAATACATCCTCACTACTTGTGTATTGTGTAAATAGGGTTTTTCTTGTACAAGCCATTTGTAAAATTTTGTGTTGAAAAAGGCAAGGGAAAAAATGGGGCACCCTCTACTTGTGGTGTTGAGAAAAATACAGCTCAAGTGCACAAATAAAGGATCCTAAATTTGCAAAACGTATAAAGAATAAATAACGGACTGTGAGCCAAGCTGAATCATCGTCTTCTGCTGTACATTCAGCAAGCTCCTATGAACTTCTTTTGCTGCACCCTATTGCCTCTGTAATCAAGGATGGTTACAGCTGAGCTCCAGCACGGAACACAGAGCTGACCTTGACTAGCTGTTGACATTGTTCTGTTTTCTCTGATTGGTTTTAAAATTTAAAATTAAGGATCATTTGTGGGGAGACAGGGAATGCTTTGTTTTTGTATTTAGTGCCATGGATGGAGAGATAAGGCAGAGGAAAATGCACAAAACTGCAACAACTGTACAGCTTTTGCTTGTTAAATTGTTATCGTAAACATTTCAGGGTGCTTTTCTTTTGGACATAATCTTTCTGCTTGTGCATGCTGCGCATGCATGACCACGGAGCAAGAATGCATTCAGAACTGGATCTCGGCATGTCTCAGCAGGGAAAAAATGAAAAGGAGAGGAAGAGGAGAGAGAGAGAGATTATCAACCAAGAATACTTAATGGCACTTCAGAACAATGTGTAGAGGTCTTTTGTGATAACTGTCCACAGTGTAAAAATGAATCATTGAATGTATGGCACCGCAGTAACTGATCACATATTCTGTAGTGAAGAGTACTCATTCTCTCTAGCTATTGTGTTTACTGAAATAGATCCCTCTTGAATCTAACATATTGTTGCAACAATGATTCAGATGTGCAAATCAGTTACAGAAGACTATACTGTACACTGAAATGTTCTGTTTTGTCTTTCTCTCTTAAGCAAAAAGCATACGAGATCTCTCATTTCAAAATGCCTGACCTCTAAAAGCAGTTTACATTGTCCATCACAGAGCACAGCTGCTCATCACACCATCCTGAACGGGGCAAGAAAAATGCAGATTATTTGACTGGAAGGGAAGATAGAGGTGTAATTTCATTGACCTCTGGGCTGTTCTGATTTACATTAGCTGAGGTAATGCCCCTATTATTTTTTGTCACCTTAGGTCCAGTAAGCTGAACAGTATTTTCCACCTTGTACAATGTTGTGAAAATATGCATTCCAACTTTCTCAGGTGTTGGAAAAACAGAACAAAGCTTTGCATGTGACTTTCAGTGAATTTTCTACTCTATTTTAAAATACGCTTTATCCTGAGGTCCTCTTTCATGTGCTGGGAATTCTCTTCAAGAGAAAAGAATCATGCCAAAAATGGCAAATGTGCAGAAACTAGATTTTTTTTTTTTTCGTAGAGAAAGAAAAATGATGCATAGGTTTTATTATTACAAGTCATAGCTCAGTTATTTGTTTCACCTCTCTGACAGATAGGCTAGTGCTCAGCAGGAGAAAATGCTGTAAATAATCAGTTTGCTATTTATACACTGAAATGAGGAAACACATTTATAGGAAACAATAATAATTAGAAAACATTTATAAAAATCTGCTGGGTTGCTATTTGGTTTCTCTGGAGTGAGCAGCTGTAAGAAAGCAAAAACAATCAAATCAGTGCAACTTCAAAGGGGCTGAGAATGGGTTCCATGAGCTCAAATTGTCAATAATAAAAATGTAACAGCTTCCAAGCAAATTAAAGTCTTGATGATGTCCCCATTTAAGTGATTTAGGCTTTTGACTGATTTTAATAACACTTGCCCTAAAAGTTTAAGGTACTTACTTGAACACACAATTGTGTTGCACAAAGAATGTGTCTTAGCTGCCATATTAGAAATATATTATACATATTACACACAAAAAATACATAGCATTTTTTCCTCTTGTCTTGGTTTGCTGCAAGCTTTTCTTCAGTGGTATCCCAAATTTGACCTTGAAATTGGCCTCATCTCTCCCACGCTCTTCTTGTTTAGACACTTTTTGGGGGTTATCATTTCAACTTTGGGAATTTCAACTTGGCATGCAGTGTAAACAACCCTCTGAACTCCTGGTTTTTTATTAGTGGGCTGTTCAAAAATTGTCTTTTCTCTTCTATTTTGGGGCAGGTTTTGTTAGGCAACAGTGATCTGCTGCAAACTTTTAGAGGTGACAAAAACCCTACAGAAGGCTGCATTCCTTCTTTAGGGGATGAGAGCTCACAGCATTGCAGCACAGCTACTTTTAGATTTTTCCTCCCCTTGGTCTATATGAATAGCAGGGGGAAGGGAAGCACAACACAGGTCTCAGAGCTGTTCTTAGAGCACTGCACAACTTCTGCGTGGTTGTAGCACTCAGGCTGGCTGTCCACTCTGAAGTGTCACCAGAACATGTGAGACTGCTCTAAGCTTGTTGAAGGTAATATCAGAGCTGGAGGAAGCAGGAGAGGCTTGGTACTTTGGGAGTGACAGAACTGATATCCTGAAAGTGACTAGGAGGATTTTACTGCTGGGATTTTATTTCACTCAGGCACCTGATAGTCCCCGTGGGTAAGATGGGGATGCTGCACTGAGGACTAGGCCATACACATGGCCCAGGTAGCATTTCAGGCAATGACTGTGTCTAGTTAGTGAGGTTTTTTTCCTAAAATACTCATAGCCTTTGGAGTAGCTCTCATAAGATGTCTGTGATAATGATAAAGATTGAGATTGGCCTTTGTCTTATAAGTCAGGTCATAAATCTTTCTTCTGGCCATTGCTAAGTTATTATGATATAGCAGAGAGTGATTAATCCAGCTAGTCCAGTAGTATTTTAGATTGAAATTAATGGCACCTTGCCGGTGTGTAAAGACAGCGAGTTGTCGTATTTGATCTGAAGCTCCTACTTGTAAACTATAGCAAATTATGAGAATTACTAATACACAGAAGGTCAGCCTTCAGGATTATCTGAATTAAACTCAGTTCTTGCCACTGGTCTTTTACTTTCCCCGAGTGCATTACATATATATGCCGAATTTTTTTGGTCAAATGACTAAAACTATTCTGTTATAAACTTAGTATGTGAAACTGGATTGTAATTTCTAGTGGAATTCCTGTATCTGTTTACATTAAAGAAAACCCCTGTGAATAGTTCCTGCTAGATGTAGATGCAGTGATGTTTCCACAAATTAGTATTAACACACATTTAGAGCAATATTGAATTTTATACACTTCGGTGTCTGGTTAGAAACTTTGTTGAATAAGAACTGGAAAAAATGTTGAATGGATTAATATTTTTAGTCATGTTTTATAGGGGAGCTATGGACTCCTGTCAACAGGGCTCTCAGAAATACTACTATTACTTAGAAATACTGCTACTACAAGCTTTTAGAAATCATTGGCTGGAAGGAGAGCAATTAAAGCATAAAATCAGTTTTGTGTTGTTTTTGGTCTGCTGATGCACCTGTGAGTATTTAGGTGGTGATTAATTATGAGTTGTTCCTAACATTATAAGGAAATATGAGATAAAGAGGTGACAGGAAGAAATGATAATACTACATAAAAGTTAGAAATGACATAGGGAAAATGGTCCAGGACTACTTGATGAGGAAACAGAGGGCACAGGCTACAAATCCGTAACACATCAACTTTGTTAGTTCTGCAGCTGAAGGAACAACTTACTCCCTTTCCAACAGCATTGTGCCTCTGGAGTGATGAATGAGATCGAACTGCTTGGTGGTTGAACACCAAATAGTGTGAAGCGTATTAATTCCCCTGTCAGTTTATGAGTAAGAGAGGTAAAAACACAGGGCAAGTTGGTGACTAAGTCAGGATCCTGATGCTTCCCTTGCGAGGAGCTCCCCCCCCAGCCCTGTGTGTGAGCCTGGGGTGACCATCCTCCTCGGTGGAGTCTCAAAATTAAGCAGTCTGCATGTCCTCTCCTATCTCCCTTCTTAGGCACAAGGAAAACAAAAGCGAAGTAGAAGGGCCAAGGGCCCCTCACTCAACAGTTTCCCTACCCCTTTATGTATAGTGTAAATGCAAAATAAAATCATTGATGGCTCATTCCATGCAAGTGTTATGAAACTGTATCTAGTACAGCCCAGTTAGTATCAGTTGTTTTGTATTAATAAAATAATAAGCAGGCCTATGCAGAAAGAGAAGAAATCACACTGCCTTGAGAAGAAAAACTCTAAGACTCATTCCTATCCGCAGGCACAACCGCAGCCAGGAGCACAAGGTGTGTTTAACATGCTGTGTGTATCAGCTTGTGTGAGCACCTCACACACTCTATGGAATAACCACAGCAGTTGCAGCCTCTCGTAATGTAGCCTTTGTGCTGTTTTGTGCTGGTGCTTTAGAGCTCATCAGTAAAGCTGGTCACCTTTTAAATATGACATTAATTTTTTCATACAAATAATTTGATTTTTACGTTAAAACCTGAGATTTGTGCTTTGTTTTGTTGTTGATTACTATAAAAATGTAGCAAAATGATTGACAAATACTATCTTTTTGTTATACTTTTGAAACTACTGGGGACATATTTTTAGATAATTGAGGAATTTTCTGTGTTTCTAGATTAAGAAAATGCTATGTTCGATTTTTTGCCTCAGCTGCTCACTCGTGAAGGAAAAGGAAATCTAATTTTGTGAGAATCATTCAAAGCATTAATAAACTCAATCTCACTGCATCACTTTGCCTTCAGAATAAATAGTGCAATATCCTTTTATTTATACATACTCTGTGACTTAAAAAGGGAGAAATGACAAAAATCTGCATGATAAAAGGCTTCTAAACTTGCAGCATTCCCCAAGACTGTTACGAAGCACTCGATGCAAGCTTTTTTCTTGTCTGCATCCGACCTGCTTTCAAACCGTGTTGCAGCAGTTGTGTGCAACTGAATCCAGACTGCATCATCAGTGCTGTGTCACCACCACATCGTTGGGCGCTACAACCAGGGAAACAAAACTAAAGAGAAACCAACCTTGACTGGGGGCAAATTCAGCCTGGAACACCTTACTGCCACTCTGCCTTCAACTTCTCTTTGGAGCAGAAAACAGCCCTTCTTTACATTCATTGCCCTTGTGCCTTGTGATTGTACAGTTTTTCTAGGAGGAAAAAAAACATTTAGGAATGGCTCTTTGAATAAAACTCTTCGGCTCATTCTGTACCTCTTGCAATTGTGGAGCAGTACCATGTTTGGTGCAGGTGCCAAGATGCAGGCTCCTTGATTTTTAGAAGGAAATGCATGCTTTCAAAGTCCCTAAGGTTTTTCCTGAGACTGTTCTGCCTTTTGTTTGATTCTTTGTCTGCCAGTGCACTCAAAGGCTATTACTTTTTCTTTTTTTCTGTCTTTCTAACAGTATCAAGGACAAAAATAGCGGTGAACTAATTCCCCCAGTAATGAAGGAAACCGTGTCCTACCTAAAAAGAAATGGTGAGTTATGTGTCAAAAAGGGATGTGTATTTTAAACAAAGGCAGCAGTATGTAATCCTCAGTGCCTGATTCAGCAAAGTTTATAGCTGCAATCTCAAAATGAAGGATATATTCAAATCCTGAAAATCTGGGTGGCAATTGAACATTGCCTTGAGAGCTCTGATTGGTAGAGAATAGCTTATTATCAGATTATTGTCTCACTACAAAAAATTTAAAAAAAAAAATAAAAAAAAAAGATTTTGGAATAGCAAGTGAGAGAGGATGTCTTGTAACAGACATCACCAACCCATATCATATTGTGGCTTTTAAATAAAATTCGCAGTAAAAATCAATGAAAACTTCTGTATTTATAGAACTCATTGAAGGAAATGCATTTTGCAGGAGTAAGCCTGAAGTCTTCCCTTCATAAAAGACTATTACTGCAGGGCACTTACAGACCCTTTGACTGCAGGTCATATCTGTGGTTGTAATATATAGGGATAGTTTACAGTAACCTTTATTTAAAATGAGAACATTTAAAATTTATGTTCACAGATCACCTTCATGTACAAGGAAAAGAGGGATGCGCCTTGAACTGCTGTCTATACAGTGGTATCCCTCATGCACCCAACCAACACAATGGAGGAAGGAAGCACCAGATGCTACCTGTAGGGCAAGCATGCTGTGTTTCCAACTTAGGAATGGAGGAGCAGCAGGGAGGAAAGGATAAGGCTGCAGTTCTGACATTCCTTTTTTCTATATAATATGATTACACATTCTGATCCCTGATTTTGAGGGTGGTGAGAGTATTATTTCCATAACTCCTCCTGCTTCTAGGTGTTAGAGTTTCATGAATGTTAATGAATGTTAATGAAATCTTACAGTACCAACCCCAAATATTAGCTGCATTTATGTTACACGTGCAAGAAAAGAAACAGCATAACACAGCTATGTGACTGGTGCAACACTGCTAAATGCTAAAGCTGGAACTGATTTCTATGATCTCTGAAAGTACAGCGTGAATTTTTAATAGATGTGTCAGTAGGGCAAGTAAAGAAAACCAGAATGTTTGGTTCAGGTATTTTTTGTGGGAATGCAGGTGGCATTGTTGGTTGTTTTGTTTGTTTTTTATTGAATGCCACTATTCTTTAACATGCTATTAATTTTGGTTAATGTTTGAACAAATTTTAAGGACTAACGAGATTTTTCTTAAGACAAAAACCAGGCTCATGGCTCTGTATTTCTGCTATACATAGCAGTTTCATCTGAGGTTTTCCTTGTTTAAAGCAATTATTGACAGCACACAAATAGAGAATACAAATGTTGAGTAAGTTATTGTCTTCCATAGAGAGGTTTACCCCAAACCTACATCCCACAATATTCCCCATCCTTAACTGCATTCTTGGGCTCCTAATCTGAACAAGGTACATTTTCCTTTCAGATGTGTTTAAACGTGTTCAAATGTGTTCAGTGTTGATTTCTGTCTGTTTTAACTGTTGTCACTAGAGTTTGATTTTAGTTTATTTGAACCTTAAGAGAGAAATATCAAACATTTTTAAAACTTGCACTGAATAGTCTTCACATTTGTCAAAAGAGAGAGGAAGGAATGTGAAGAAAAACATTACTTTTCAGCTGTGTTGCAGATTCCCTTGAGCAATCCTGTCTTCATTTGTATTGGTGCAAGATCAGGCTGGTTTAAATGAGGACAGACTACACAGCATCTTTCCCTCATTGCTGGACTATGCTCCTCCATATTTTAGTTTCTCCTGTAGTAAATAAGAACATTCTATTGTACGTTTTATTTTTGTTTGCTTTTCATACCTTGCATGAAACTTAATGGTATGTATAGGAGATTAAGAGGGAGATCCATTTCAGTGGATACCTGCTTTCAGTTCACATCAGCAGAGCACAGCTTTTATAGGCTTCCTTGTGTACAGAACAGCCAGCTGCTAGCTTACTGAAATTGGGATTTATCTTCAAAATACCTGTACCAACCAAAGGCCAAGAATTGGAGTGGTGCCATTTGTGCTATTCAGGGTATCTACTGATCTGCAGTATGTAAAGAGCCCCCAGAAAAACTTTACTGAAGGCCTCTAGGTCCTAATTCAGCATTACACTAAAGCTCATGAAACTATTCTGATATTCTGGATATGCTGCTTCAGGCACCTTAAAGATGAAAACTTTTCAGATGCAGCTTGTTTCAAATACATTGTTGTTAGATGGGTGGAATGTAAATAGTTCACTACTAAGAATGTTGAAGGCAAGTGACTGGCAGCTTGAGACAATCCCTGTAATTATAATTGTAAATGGATAATTAGAGCACGTGTAGTGGATCAGAGCATGCCTCATCTGCAGATGAAAACCAGGTTTTTTCATATTTTAGATTGTTATGAAACAGTCATACTTACATACATTTAGCTTATCTTAATAGGCAAATGCCTCTTACTCAGTAATCCATGGGAGTCAGGAGAGCTTAAACAAGGATGAACATGCACAGATATCACTACTTCTCATAGCTGTTATTACTCAGAGACTGAGAGAAAGTTTAATCATTAAAAATGTCAATTGATTTAAACTTCTGACTGTATAGGGACAGGATACTTTGCTTATCTTACACTTCCTTCCACATGTTTAAAGATTTTAAAGGAGTTGTATTTTGCTGGTGACAGAAGTTTCATTAGTAACTTGTTGTGATGACTGAACACAAACGGTCCATTTCTTGTTATTTTTGATGTTTTTCTTGCTGTTTTGTCTTGTAGCAACTGCAACAGTATCAGACACCTCCATCCCACCATTTGTTGGGTACAGCTTAGTTTTCTGAAGCCACCATTTCTGCTGCACAGAAATTTAAAACAAAAACAAAACAAAAACAAATAATTAAAAAAGAAAAACCACCAAAGTTTCAGCTCATGGTTGTGATTAAAGAGAAGATTTGGCTCAAACTTATCATTGCAGAATGTCTCTGAGATGAAAGCTTGTTATTCTGAAAGCAGTAATCGTCCTTGGGTTTTCTCCAAACATCCTCTTTTTTTGGCTAAAACTTCATTCAGTGCAATATCAGCACAGTTTGTGAAGGATAGTCTCTGAGGATATGTGATGGTATTTCTGAACAAAAGTCCTTGTCCTGCTTTGTGCATCCGTGCAAGTTGGTAACGCAGTGATGCTGAGCACTGATCTGTAGTTCAGCCTCACGCTCGCTAGCCAGCCTGTCTGACTTTTCCCCGTCTTTCTGTCCTTCTGTGTCCCCAGGAAGGAAGGCCATCAGATCTGCCAGCGCTGGCATCTTCCAGCTAAGCATGGGTTTGTTCTGAGCTGACATATTCCCTATCACAAGGAGATGTCCTCTAACCAGATTTCTCAGTTAGGAGACGGCTTGTCAGGTAGAGCATTTGCTGACATTTTCAGCCGGCTGATTCTTGAAAGCCAAGTACCTGCCATGCCGAGGCTGTTAGCAGTAGGTGATAGACATGCATTTTTTTGCACTTGTTTATAAGTGTGCAGGTATCTGTAGTACTTGCTGTCTGCTCTGATTTTAACTCTTTATCTAAATCTGGAATATCTCAGTTCTGCCATCAGCCTCAGCGTGTGTTGGTTCTGGTGCTGACAGCCCTGCAGGATGACTGGCAGCATTCTTTGCACTCCAGACGCAGCTGTGAGTGCAGTGAAAACTTCAGCTCATCTTCCAGAAGTGGCAGAAATTCACTGTCATTATCTTTTCCATTTGATTTTTGGCATAGTTTCCATCCTCATAGAATTATCAGCGGATAGGTTTTGGTTTTGTAGCTGAGAATTTGCTTTATCAAATAGTGTTATTGTGCTCTTTGCATCTGTTGTACTTTCCATGGAAATAAATAGGATGCATTACTTCAGAGTCACCTATGAAAAAAATAATCAAATACTGCAAAATCTTAGCAGACAAATTCCTTTGCAGCTCTGATCATCTTCTGGACCAAAACAGAGAAGGTTTCTTCATTTCAAAAGTGAGCTGATGATTTAGTCAGGCCTTAATGGCAAGATCGGTTTAAAACAGCTCATCTATGAGCAGATTTTCCTAGTAACCAGCAAATCAGAGGACTTTCTTCCCTGCTCAACCTCTGAACAACTTGTTCATCTGTCTAGTTCAGGCTTGGCTTGTGCTTACACTAAATAAGATTTTTGTGTACTACCTTATCTCTACTGTGCCTTGAGAAATTACCTTGCTTAATTAAATATTCACTCTCTTGTCAGAACAATTCAAAAGTGTTCATAACCTGGTGTCATTCCTTTGGTGGTAATGATCTTGATGCTTTTTGCACAGACCTTTTTCTCGGACAAACCCAATTTATGCCACAGGGCAGTCATTTTCTCTCTGGGTTAATATGTCTCCACATGTCCTTAGCAACCTACCTAGTGCTGAAGTGAGTTGCTGACTCTTCTAACAGACTGTTTTTTTAATCAGGAATGTAAGTAATGCCATGCTATGGAGGCTGCACCTTTACATGCCCATGTATGAGAGTGGCGGCAGCCACAGGTGCTGCCTGCAGCATCCCAGCAGGACAGAGGGGACTCACAGCCATGTGCACTGGGAGCTGTAGGACTCAGATGTGTGCTTTTCCTTTATGCTTAGTTAGGTGTCTCACCAATTCCTTTCATGCCTTTTGCTTACATGTCTTTATGTTCAAGAACAGTTGTTAACATACTCTTTGTTTAAGTGTGTCGTGAGAAATTAAAGGCTTGGTGGTGTGTGGGTTGGTTTGGGGCCTTGGATAGACCAGTGTTAATACAATTCACTACATTCCCTTAGTTCTTAAACTGAGCCACAGTTTGAAGGGACTAACTGATACACAGTAAATTGAAGATGCATGGCAAAATCCATATTCTGTGAGCAAGCACCCCAACAACTGGAAGTCACAGAACAGTTTTTAAGGGAATTTTTATTTGATTCATTATAAAGGTGGGTATATCCTGTACTGTTCTGATTCTTATGAAGGTGTTAAATAGATTACAAAGGACAGAAACATTCCCAAACCCTGTCTGAAGTAGTAACACACTGTCATTTTTACTGGTTTAATACTGATTACCAGTTTGAAATGTAAAGGTAGGATTATTATTTCCAATGCATTTAGAGATGCAAACTCTGTCCTTGTTTGTATTTTAAGCAATTTAAAGCCAAAGCTAACTACTAAAATTTGCAAAATTTGATAACATTTATATTCTCAAGAGTAGGCAAATAAGGAAACAGCTACAGAAAATTACTTAGAAATTGAAGAGACCATTTGAGATCAGCAGTAGCTCAGAAGTGATGGAACAGACCAATAAAGTCACGGTGAAGGAACTGCTCTGCAAAATAGAGAAAGAAAATAGCTAACTGTCCCCTAAAGGAAAATTATGTCACAGTAGTCCCCATTACTGAGTCTTTCTCTCTTACCTCATCTCTTTTGTCTACTGCTAGTGCTTTGTAGGACAAACTTTCTGTTCCGTGTTCTTTGATAGTACCACAGGAGAGTTCTGAGTGATGACAAAGAACTCCTAAATGCAATGATAATAACTGTGCCATAGAAGTTTAATAATAAAGCAGTAAATATCCTATGGTATGATTATGGTGGCAACTAAAGCTGTCCTTTATCTGTTTGACAGCAAAAACAGTGGTAAACAGCAATTAATCTTTCCTGCTTATCTTCTTCATGAAACACAACAAATCTTGCTGATGGACAAAGTTTTGGTTCAGTTTTTTTGATGTGAATGAATGCATCCTGATGGTGAATCAGAATGGATAGAGATGGATGGTTATAAATTCTGAATGCGTTTGGATTGCTGCGGCTTACTGAGTTTACCTCCTGGCTTCCACTTCTTGTAATCAATCAAATATCTTCTAAAAATGCAACACTGGGAAAGCTTGACATTGGTCACACAAACATTTCTGAGTTCTTAGTTCTTTCTGTTTTGATGAGAAAGTCTTTACCCAGGGATAATGGAGATTATATAAATCTTAAGACCGGTTCATGTGTCATCAAATAAAAATGGACCGTGTAATAAGCACAGTTGTGTTTTCAATGCTCAAACATTGTAAATAAATTATGTTTGGAGGTGCCAAGTGTAAACTGAGATTATTCATTCATAAATCCAAAGGCTAGCCTATGCTGTTCAGAACTGCAAGGACGCAAACACACTTTGGGTTCTTGGAAGGATACATTGTTCTAAATCCTTGCTGCAGCAGCTTTGCCATAGGGCTGGAACTGTACTTTTTCTTTCCCTCTATCCTTGAATTTCTGTACCATCTTGCAGAGCAAATCATTTACAAACTGCAGACATTATGATCACTTGCTCCATATTTGCACAGTGTATAGGGACACTGTGTAACCCCCTCCTAAAACTTGTAATGTATTCTTACTTTAAAAAATATATAGCCTTAAATATAAAAATTCTTAATTCCTACCACCAGACAATTAAGAGATTATGGTCCATGTGGACAGTTAAAATATGGTATATATTAGTCAGTCTGCATGGTAGAAATAAACAAGTTCTGATTTTTAAAAGGGATTCTTATTAGAATTGGGTGATCTGGAAGAAGAAGCCTGAATCAGTTGTGTAAGTGAGGATGAAAACTAATTCCAAATCAGGATGGATGCTTCCTGAAACTTGGCAGGACCAACAATTGAAAGAAACATTTCCAAACTCAGTTTTGGATAGAAACAATTCAGATGCTCATTCATTGCTGTTTCTCATGTGAAAGCAGACGAATTAACAAAGAATTTTGATGCCAGATGATTGAAGGAAAAAGAATGCAATTTTCACGTCTCCCTTTCTTTGACAAGTTTTCAGCAATGTGCCAGCATGTGCTGTTTTAATTTATCTGTTTTGATTTTCTGTGTTTTTCCTTTGGAACGACTGATCGGGGAGGCAGAAAGGGGTTAAGTATTTTTAGCAACAGTTTATTAATTCAGAGTATGACACAATTGTGTCACTGCACTGTAAAATTTTGTCTACTATGGTAAAACCCATCTTATTTCAGTGTGGAATGAAGTGCCTGTCTGTTTTCATTTATGATTACTGACATTTAAATAATTACTCAGTTAAGTTCTCAATCTCAGAATCACTTTTCATTGAATACAGATGGTTTCTTCTTCAGTCATATTACAATGTTTTTTTCTCTAGCATTTAATATTTAAAATAAAATTGTACTCACTTTAGTCCAGAGTACTTAGGGCAGGATAGCAACATTCTATTGGTCTTTATATCTGTCTGTCCATCTATCCGTCCATCTATTTATCTGTTTTTGTGCACAAGGGGCATGGAGCAGTTTGTGTTATCTCAATAGCAGTTCTGCAGCACTGATGGAATATTTGAGTGATGTGCAGCTGCACGTTTATCATAACTGCTGTTACTGCCAGTCATCAGCTAGCAGTGGTCTGGCAAGCACTGTTAGTCTGATTGTTAGTCTGATTTTTGTATTCTCTATGGAATTGGTTACCCATGCCTTTAGTGGCAAAATAGTTCAACTTGTACACACACACACAAACGCAAAATTCAACTGAAATAAAGAGATAGCTGATATGAATTTGTAAATAGAATTTGATTGAAGAATACTACTGACATAATACTGAGTCATCTAAGTCAAAACACATTCTTGAAAGAATAGAAAAGTGTGAGTTAAAGTGAAATGACCAGGATTGTCTTCAGTCAATTTAACGCTGGTGGCTCTGACATGAACTGTGTCTGCAAAAAAGAAGACAAAGTGATTAATTTCACTTTGGTGGGAGCACCTAGTGCTAAACAGTGCTTAATTATGGTAGTACTACGGGCTGACTTTTCCCCGTTATTGGCTGAACAGGAGGAGCCATAGCCAGGCTTGGCAAATGTGTGTCCTGGTTGTGTGTCAGGCTGAGTACTTACCCTTCACAGTTGAATCACTGGTAAGAGGCTTCAAGTCCCTTTTCCCTTTCCCATCCCTTATTAGGAGACTCCTGTTGGGGGATTTGGGTTAGATGATGTTGGAAATGCTTTGCAGTACTGCCAATCAAATGTCAGGCCCTTCTAAAGTGCAGAAAGCACTGAGGGCAAATAACAGGCTTGTGGACTTCTTAAAAAAGAATCCCACTCAGTTCATGTGCATGGAGAAGAATGTAAGGAGAAGAAACACCTGCATTTGTATTTGGTTATTACCACCTGTAGGTAAAACAAATTATGGTATACTGATCCAGTTCCAGCTGTTCTGGAAATTTAATTCTGAAAGTACCACAAATTTCACCTACACTGTAGGTGTACTACACCTACACTGTAGGATACCTACTGTATCCTACACTTCTGCAAATGAGGAAATAGTTGTTTTCTCCTCCCAAGGACTTCCAAGTAACATATCCAGCAAGAGCATAGTGCCATTACAGTAACACTGATGGGATGCAGAACCAGACAAGTACAGCTGCTGTCTGCACTGGAGATTCATGTCTTTAATTAGACTCATGAAAGCACAGCCAATAAAGGAATACACATGTTAAAAATGGATATTTATTACACCTTAGTTTATATAGTGAGACTAACATCAGATTAAAGCATTAACTGTTAAACCACTTCCAGCAAACCAAATTTTAAGCATTTATCCATATATCCATATTTGTCCATCTTCTGAAAGACATGTTTCTACAGAAAACCTGCAGTCCACTTACAGCCAACATAAAATTCTACAAATTCTAAGAAAATTATTGCATTTGTTGTTTGCTGAGGGCAGTGTCTTGACAAGCTAGCTTTTCAGAGCTGCCACTTCCAAAGCCATGCCTTTAGACAGGTTGCACTATAAATCTAATGGAAAAGTTTTATTACAGTGATATCATTTGCAGTGACTTTATTCAATTGAACATGATCTGGTTGAGAGTTAAACAATCGTTCAAATAGATCATAATCACCATCCATTAGGTTCCTTTAGTAAGCAGACACATGGCCTTCCTCATGTAGTACGAGATTTCATACACCTTCCAGATTTGAAGGCATAAGTTAAAGTTTTAGTATTTAAATTGGAGTTTAAGAAGTGGGAACATACATGTTCAGAAAAAAAAAATAGGGTGCCATATTAAGTAATGATAAGCTTCTAATTCTAGTGAATGGGACACTTATAATTAGACCTAGGGTTTCTTTGCAAAAGTCTCTGAAACACTATTACTTCAGTACTACATTATCAATTCTAGTATACTGATCTGAAATCATATGAATAATGCTAAATGCCATTCTATCAGGAGAAGGTTGATTAAGGAATTTTGCATTTATTAGTTTTTCATGTATAAAATATACTTTTGTATGCAACTTGTGTGAAATTACAAGAATGACAGTATCTGGCTATAGGACTAGGGGAAATGGCCTCAAATTGTGCCAAGGAAGATTCAGGTTGGATGTTAGGAAATACTTCTCTGAAAGAGTGGTCAGGCTCTGGAATGAGTTGCTGGGGAGGTGGTGGAGTCGCTGATCCTGGAGGAGTTCAAGAAACGTTTAGATGTTGCACTAAGGGACATGGTTTAGTGTGAAATATTGGTGATATGTGGATGGTTCGACTGGATGATCTTAGAGATCTTTTCCAACCGTGGTGATTCTATGATTCTATCCTAGTATAATAGTGCATGTTAGTGCATGACTCCAGATTTTTCTTGAACACCATAACAACTCTTGATTCTGTGAATAGATGTGCACATACTTCAGTTGAGATACACAAGCATAACTTTCAGGCTGACTACTTAGCAGCTGAAAGATTAGAATGAAAAAATAAAGAAGTCAGTCATCTGCTCTTCCACATTCATGTAAAGAAAACAAGCGACAGCCTCTTCAAGTCAGTGGGTGGTCTGTCACCCTTCTCAAAAAGACTGATATTTTTGCTGTGTTTTGTCAGAAAGCCTAATATTTTAGGTGACTGTGCTTCCAGTGGGAATCTCAGTTTGCAACTACATGTGAGCCAAATTGTATTTCCTACTAAGCGGAAGGAATAATACAAACCAGAGAGGGAGACAGAGAAGGAAATGATGATTTTATGAAACTCAAAAGCAAGAAGCACTGCATGTCTCAAAAAAGTAAAACATCCCAATGCTGTTTTGCATTATAAATCAAATAACTTACTTTGAAAGCTGTTATCCAATTTCAATCCTTGATTGTATGCAGCTTGTTGACATTCTTCCTCTGTAGCTGAAAACAGATTTCAGTTAAAGACATGAAAGACGTATTTCAGAGATGCCTAGCAAGATTAGAATTAGGTATTTCAAAATACCATGGGCAGGCAGAGTCTTAAGTCCCATTGATTTCCAGAGGGAGGTGGAAGAAGCAGTGGTCTGCTCAAAAGTACCTTGAAGGTGGGGAGACCAATATCCCTCCAGTAGTAAGGACTCCTCAATCCAAAGATGCTGTAAAGCATCTCCTAGCTTACATCTTGTCTCACGCACTGACAGTAGTAGGAGCTCAGGAAATTTTTGCAAATATTCTCGTTAGCTTGCTAAAGGCTTTAAGGTGTTTAAATTAGAACAGCAGAACAGCAGGTGTGGCTGTTTGCAGATAAACCAAGTGAGGGTGAGGCACTGTTGAAAAGTACTTTTAAAGAAAAGAATATCATTGACATGACACTTGTAAAACACTTATGTAAAGGCCGTAGTACTTCTATGAGTGGCATTAAAGAAAATGCCTTAGGCACTGCTACAATGTTTTGTACAATGACTGTACCAAGCAGGTTTGTTCCCAAACCTTCTTCCTCTGCTCTGTTTTCAATTGAATCTGTGAAGCAAAACAAGAATGTGGCATCAGTTACCAATGGGACATGAACTGTATTTTTCAGGACTACAAGTAGAGGGCCTCTTCAGAAGGTCAGCCAGCATCCAGACTATCAAAGATGTTCAGAAGCTCTACAACCAGGGTAAGCTGCCATTATAAAAATTGCCACAGGTTAATAACAGTGTGAGGGCTTTATTGATCTTGTCTCAAGCAATGAAGCAGAGATGTTAGGTATTTTTTTAATAATTAGTTAATCATAAAGTCATTTATAATCTAAAATACAATAAGAACGCTAGTACAGGAGCTGAAAAGATAGCTTAAAGCTTGCTGAATAGTGAGTCATTAACTGATGTTAGAGTTTTCAAAAACTGTAGCAACTGAAGACTGTTGAGGTTTGAGTAAAAAATGGTCTGGTTTCTCAGACACTCATGTTACCTTTGTGCAGTTTGAGTCACTGCAGTTAGTTAAAAATGCCAAATATAGTGCCTTCATGTCATTTTGCCCCTGGTATTCTTCCGTGGCTATGGCAAAGGAGTACAATTTTACATAATAATTTATGAAATGTAATGAAGTCATTTTGAAAGTCAGTGACTTCTCCATGAAGTAATTTTATGGTATGCATTTAAGGAGAGGATCACTTACAGCAAGATTAATAAAGCCTTGAAAAATACGAAGAGAAAATTGTAGGAGTTACCAGCTTCTGGAAAGCCAGTGAGTTATCTAATCGTGGTGTGAAACAGGTTTTGTACAGTAGTTCAGAGAATAAGTAAAACATCTGATTGAACACACTTCTTTTTTTCTTCCTTTTAGGCAAGCCTGTAAATTTTGATGACTATCATGATATCCATGTTCCTGCTGTTATCCTAAAGACCTTCCTTAGGGAACTTCCTCAGCCGTTGCTAACCTTTGAGTGTTATGATCCCATTGTTGGAATTACCAGTGAGTATTAATCCAGTTTTAGGAAAATTCATACAGCTAATTAAACTGAACCTTGCTAATTCACTGCTGCTTGCTAACCACAGCTCAGTTGGGGGTATGTAACTGTATTAGTGCTTTCACTGCAGCTATTAATGGATAGTGACATAATCTGTACTATTACAAGGTGGGATTCCACCCAGAAGAGGTGAATAAAGTACCTTGTCAAGGAGTTTGAAACATGGGAGTCAGAATCTCTGCTGTTTTACTGAGTATCATGAAGGCTCAGGAAACTGACATGTAGCTCCATACTGGATATACAAGGCACCTAGCACCTTCACTGTTCTTTTCTGGGGTTTGGCTTAACCTTCAGTACAAAAGTGCAAACACATATTTTTAGAGAATGTTTTTGTAGATGTTACAGACTCTATTATAATTATGGTAAATAAGTTGTTATCTTCTCTATCATTCTTCTCGTATTCCCTGTATTTACACTGCCTGATACCCTGATACCAATTTTTAATCTCAGTGTTTTTTCACTCTGTGCATTCGGAGGAATGTAAGAAGAAATAGCCCTGTGACTAGAAGAGCTAATAAAGCCTGGATTCCCATGGATTTGCATCTCAAACATGAGCTTTCTTTTGTCTTCTCTAATGCCCAGAGAGAACTGATATCACAGTGCAGCATTTTTTCATGGTCGGAGCATCTTTATGACCTGCCCTCTCTACTCAGTTACCTAATTCCACAAAATGCATGGGCATATAAAAGACATTGACCTACCCCTCTCTCAAATCTGATCTAATTGTCCCAACAGTTTAAATGTTGACGGCTACCAGCAGATGGATGACAGCACAATATCAGAAGTCTATCCTCTATAGAAAAGCAACTAGAAAAATCAGTCCTTTGGACACTGTTCTCCTCTCTTTTTTTTTCAATCAATTTTCCCTGCTGGCAGTATGGGGAGAATAAAAATCTGCTTTTGCACACACACCAAAAAAGTTCCAATTTTGAAATTACTTTTCTTACAGCTTTCATCGGGCAGAGCTGTGAACCCTGCAGTAAATTGGAAAGATGTTTTTTTCCAAAGCACAAGTTGCTCAAACAAGAAATGTCCAAAATTTTTATGAATATTTTTGCCATTTTGGATGCTACTTTGTCACATAGGACTTACAAATGAAACAAACAAACAAACAAAACCGAAACATACGCAGTGATTAGAAGTTTGGTAACTATCTGCAAGAATTAAAAGATGACCTAATGCCTTCCATACTTGGGACCCCCAACCTCTTTTATCAAATATAGCTGAAATTACCCTGAAGGCTAAGGAGTTATGGTAGGCAAAATCAGATGCATTCACACCTATGAAGTATTTTGTCAAAAGTCATTAAAATCAAAAATTCATCTATCTACAGAGTAACTATCTCAGCATGTTAAAAAAAAATAAAATAAGTCTCTTCACAGGTTGGTTGTAGAAATTGAGGGAATAAGGATAGTCATTCAGAACAGTGTAAAGAATAGATGAAGTTTGGGAAAGGGATAGGGGAATGGTAATTTTTATTGAGTTAATCTTCTGTCTTTCTGTACAGTAAGTTACTTTTTGCAAGAGCTAATTAAAAAAAAGAAAACATCTGAAAAGAACCTGAAAGCAATGCATTACCCTAATGCTGAGGTTTTTAGCACAGCAAAACATCTATGAAGCTTTCAATCCATGCTATTTTTATCAGTGTTTTAAATGTTGGCAAAGTTTGCTTTTGAAAGATGCAGTTAAAGAGAATTTCTCCTTGGGCTTTTTTGTTACTCAGTGTGATGTCCACTATTGTTTCTTGATACTATGGTGACATCCTACTTTTTAAAGATGCTAAGCTTGAGAGCCATTCTGGGCTGCAGCAAAGTTATATTCTCTGTGAATACAGTGCAGAAGGGAGCTCTGAAGAGGTGTGAATGCAGGCAGCTGTCTTGGAATGATTTGAAAATTCTCATTCTGGCTTCTGGAAAGCACTGTGTGATTTATCTATTATATCTCTTAACCCACAAACCCAGAAATGCACTATCACTGCTTTACAATACTTTGAAATTATAGTGAAGCTTTTCTCCTTAGTCTCACTTGAAACATTCTTACAAGAGTTACTCACAGGAGCTGGGAAATAAATCAGCTGAGAGACTGACCAAAAAAAAAAAAAAAAAAAAAAAAGGGAGTTGAAACTTTAAGCTTGTAGTTTTCAAAGAACTTCTTACAGAGCTGTGAATGCTGCTCATGAGTTCCTTTGCCCAGTATTGGTACACTTTCTGAATTATTTACCCTGCAGAAGGCTGACAAAAAAATTCTTGTGACTCACATTTTTTGTCTTACTGGAACTGATAGCTCTGCAGTAGTAAAAATATCAACGCAGCTCACCGGGGCATAGCTTCATGTATTTAAATCACAGCTTAAGGGAACTTCTAACATGCTGGAGTTTTGTGCCTGCAGACATGCTTATATGAATCTCTAGCTACGTCAGGGAGAGAGAGAAAAATGGAGCAAATGGAGAAAAAAACATTAGCACAAATGAGCTGGTTAGGTCAGATATGACTGTAATCATGAGTACTTTTTCCAGCTAGGTGTTAAACTTCCAGTACTGAATTTATTAAAATATTCCAGCAAAAATAATAGTAATAAAATCATTTGGAGCAATGTTCAAAATGTATTCCAGTGCTAGCATATTCTTAATCAGATTGTCTCACTGAGTCTGGGGTCTGGTTCCAGTTCTGCCCATCTGTAGGAATATGTTAATGAATCTGATTTGGCTCATCTCTAGAAAATTCTTATTCACCCAAATGTCCATCTCGTAAATCTTTGTCCAAGAAAGAAGTTTCCAGCCGAATCACAGAAGTGTGTTTGGAGTTAGTAGAGTGCCAAAAAAGAGCTTTGCAGGACCGAGTCTCAGCAAGAATAAAATCAAGGTATAAAAAGTAGACATCTGGATACAATGCATGAAGAGATAATGGATTCAAAACAAGACCTTGGCTACTTCACTGAGTGGGGAAAATATTCTTAGCCATATATATGAAAATACTAAATATGATAGGCTTATCCTAAGAGGCAGCCCAACCTACTGTCATGGGGATAGACATTAATAAAGGTGATTTTTTGTGTCCAGCTCTACAGACAGATAGCTGAAGTAATTCCAGGTGATATAAAAAAGGTGTCATTTCTTGGTAATACGTTGATGCTTCTGGGTTAATTTAAGACTGACTTTGATATTGCAGGTGTGGAGAGCTGTTTACGAGTAACCAGATGTAAACAAATCATTCAAGGACTTCCTGAACACAATTACATTGTTCTGAAATATCTGATATGCTTTCTCCATATGGTGAGTATATAGGAAAAAATTCCAAAAGTACAGCCAATCATTTCTTTACATCTAGTAAAGCTTTGTGCTAAACAGTGGTCTCAGCCATACAGTCACCATGAAATTCTTTACATGTAAGAAGTAGTACTGTGTGAATTTAATTGAAACTGTGCCTTCACTGGAATATTTAGAAGTCTGCTCTCCTCCGTTGCCCATTCACTAATGTATGTTTTAGTGACTTTTTTTCCTATTTTGGAATGAAAAATATTAAAAATAGTAGTTGAGTATCTTTTAGTGCTGCAGAAAAAGTACATAACATGATTTTTTCCCCAAAGTGTAAATTCTGGCACCTAAAACTTTAAGTATGTATTTATGTCACTTTAGAAAATTATTAAAAAATATTGGTGACCTTTAGAAAAGTAATCAGCAAAATATTTTATATTTTACTTTAAAAACAACTTTTTCTTGTTTAAAATAGCCTTTAATTCTGTAACAGTACATTCTCAAACAAAAATACTTAATCATGCCCTTTTGCAGTATTTTTGTGTTCAGAATAAATGAATCATTTTTTAATTGTTATTCATATTCCAACAAGTTTGGGACTTTGGGAAACCTCAATTATAGTCATTCTGCAGCTGTCCTGTTGTTACTAGTTTATGTGCAGGAAAAGACAGTAATAAGAGTGTAATTTTTCCTCCATCCCACCTTATTCAATGTATTACCTTTTCAAATTGCATTTTTCAAGCCCAGGTGCCTAAAATTGAGAATTCTGGTTTAGATGATGTCTAAATAAAAGGATCTATCCTTCAGAAGACTTAAGAGCCCATCAAAGTAATGACAGATATGGAATGACATTTATTTTCCTCCTCATTAATTGTTATTGGGTTACGACTATGTT